TATACCTCCACGATTATTACGATGCACCTGGAAGGCCAAAAGAGAAATGCAATGGAAAGTGGAGTGTATTAGCGAACCTTAGCCAGCTGAGTGGATGCACAAATTAACTAGAGTGACTAACTGTTTTTTAAATCCTTGGTAACCAAGTCTTGGACCAGACATTTTGAAAAGAAAGTGAGGAAAACAATGTGTGCGTGTATGTAAATAGATGTATTTTCTCATTCCTTTGTACCGAAAACAAAGCAAAGCTGATTAATACGAGCTCCCACAGTCGGGGGCGGAAGTATTGGCTAATTAAGATTCTTCTACTTTTCCTGAAGTACCCCAAAATACGCTTATCTTTAAACTTTTGCTGTTATCGTTAACGACGTAGTAAATCTCGGCTCATTTTAAAATTGGGTTACTCATTCTTGTTCCTAGTTTGTTGTTATTGTAATTATTTATTTTTGGCTCCTAAATTATACATATTTTTAAATATTGGGATAAAAAAAGGGAAATCGTAATTGCGTTCTTTTCTATAATAAAGGCCATTGTTTGAGGTATATGATATGGGGGTGCATTTTCCTAGTGGTGTGGGTGAACCCGTTTTCGTCAACAGACCATCGAAAAATATACAGCTAGTTTTACTTTCCTTCAAAAGCGACACGTTAATAAATATGTGTGTATATTCTGCTGTCCCAATTCAAAGACAAGAAGAGAATAGTTAATTAATAGTTGTGTAAAAGCATACTAAACTGTAAATAATATTTTAGCCTTTTCAAATTGCTTCTGGGTTTACAAGTGCCAACATTTTTGTCCGCGACTGTGCAGCCAACATCTAGGGATGTACATATGTAAGTAAAATGCATGTACATTGTACATACGTATATATGTACCTACAAATGTAATGTGTAGGAAGTAAAAAAGCCGAATGCAAATACCCTTGGATTGTGTATTGATTGATTTTAGTGGGCGATTAGGGAACTCAATGGGTTGCATTTAAGTTTTTTGGGTAGTAATATTTTCAGGTTCGTAATCAAAGGGTAGATTACAAACTGCATTTTATATGTACATAGATCAAACCTAAAAACAACAGTGGGGTTCCATAAGTGGTATGCGTTATTTTGGTGTACCAATCAATACGAAGATTACGAACTGCACTCTTACAAAGTAGCTGGAATATAATGTGTTATACCTTCTCCGCAGGTCGTAGATCGAACTGCTATCAGCGAGTGCTATCACTGCCAGAAACGGAGCCACAATCACTCTGACACCCCTTGTGCAATTGTCGACTCAGGCCGCCTAGGCCATCAGGCACGGTCCAGGTTGGAGGCACTTGCTCGGGATCGGGATTCGGGTCCGGGAGAGAGGCTGAGCCGTTGGCAGAGCCTGCTTGTTGCTGCCGCGTTCGCAAAGGACTCAAAATTGATAGAAACAACAAAAAGGCTGCTGCAACTGGTGCCTCATCCGAGGACCAGCCGCCGCGCAAAAAGGGTCGTCGCTCAGGAGGCTCAGGCTCCACGTCCACATCCGCCGTTTCCGTTTCCGCTGCCGCAGGGTCAATAGATGCGGCATCCACGTCGCGAGCGGCCCAGCAGTTACAGCACCAATTGAACTTCTCCACTTCGACAGGGCCGAGCACGGAAGCATCGGGAAGTCCCAGCAAAGTGCAGAGAAAATCGACAGAAAGCAACAAGAGACCACGGGACACTAGCAATACACTTGGGTCCGAGGCAAACATGCAGAGCACCACATCTACGTCGAGCGGTTCCTGCTCCAGGCCACTGGAGGGTTCCGCCCTCAATTCCGGCGGCAGCGCCGAGAACGTGGCCCGCGAGGGCGCCGGCAGTGGCGAGGACAGCGTCGGTATCGGAGATGAGAATCCCTCTGGCAGCAGCGCAGCCACCAATGGACACGACTCTAAACACAATGGATTCGCCGTCAACAACAACGGCAGCAGCAGTCGCATTGTAGATGGCGAGAACAATCGAGAGAACACCAGCTACAGCGGCGTCCAGCTAGACAAGTCGAACCAGGAGATCATCCGGCTGATCGGACAGTATCTTCACGACGTGGGTCTTGACAAGTCAGTCAAGACGCTCATGGTTGAGTCGGGATGCTACTTGGAACACCCCTCGGCCACAAAGTTTAGGGAACATGTCCTAATGGGGGACTGGTCAAAGGCAGATTCCGACCTCAAGGTAACTAGTCCAGCTCCTTTTTGAAGTCGGTTCCTCGGTACTCCGAGGGTCTTAGAGTCTGCTACATTAATTTTGTTGACCCTTTAAATGTAGTCCAAGTATAAGCAATGAACCGCCATCAAAATTTAAGTATTGCAATGTGCTGTTATAGAATTGGTTTTATGTGTTTGTACTTTTAATTCGCAAAACTACTTATACCCTTTTTTTAAAACCAAAGTGGGTAAATGAGTTTCAGTAGTTGGAATTGGCCCGTATTTATCTGATCAACTTGAAAAGCCGCCAAGTTTGCAAAATACAATTTTTTCGCCCTTCACCATTCGGTAATTTCTTTATTCTTAGGTATACATATCTGAACAGCTGTACAAGTTTCAAAACCCGACTCATTTCCCATGTCACTACCATTGCAGGACTTGGAGCCATTAATAGATAATGGAAAATTGGCAACGATCACCGAAATGAAGTTCATATTGCTGGAGCAAAAGTATTTAGAGCATTTGGATGATGGCAATCCCCTGGACGCCCTGCACGTCCTTCGCAGCGAGCTGACGCCCCTGCAGCACAACATATCGCGTGTGCACCAGCTGTCCTCGTACATGATGTGTTCCACCAATCAAGACCTTTACCAACGCGCCAAATGGGAGGGCAAGGGCATCCTGTCGCGGGCCTTGGTAATGGAGCGCCTACAGACTTTTATGCCGCCGTCGGTGATGATGTCCCCGCGACGTCTGCGCACCCTGCTGCAGCAGGCCGTGGAGCTGCAGAGCCAGCACTGCCCCTGCCACGACATGGCGTGGGAGACGAACCTGGAGACGGTCTCGCTGCTCACTGACCACTGTTGCACACGGACGGCTTTCCCATGCAGACCATTCAGATCCTCACCGACCACTGCGACGAGGTGTGGTTCTGCAAGTTCTCGCCCGACGGCCTCAAGTTGGCAACGGGTAGCAAGGACTCCACTGTGATTATCTGGGATGTTGATCCGTACAAGCTGACCCTCAAGCACCGGCGCGTTCTCGACGGCCAGGCCCAGCTCAGCGTGAGCTTCGTTAGCTGGAGTCCCGACTCCAAGCTCATTCTCGTCGGCGGCACCGAGGACTCCCACGAGCTCTACATCTGGAACGTGGACGATGGCAAGCTGGTGGTAAAGTTCTCGCAGTCGCTGGAAGACAGTCTGGCCTGCGGCGCATTCAGTCGGGATGGAGCTCGCTTCGTCTGCGGCGGCCAGAAGGGTCAGCTTTACTTGTGCGACCTAAACGGCACCATTGTGGACTCCTGGGAGGGTGTGCGCGTCAACAGCATAGCCTTTCGGGCGGACAACAAAACGATCTTAGCGGCCGATAATCACTACCGTATCAGAGGGTAAGTGGGATTGCATATTAGTTAGTGGTAGAACTTGCTTATAATCTTTTAATTTCCATATTGCATGGGGTATACAACATTACCTTATAAACAATATTTTTAGTTTGTCTGTTTAAAATATCGCGTGCGGAATACATTAACTTTTGTTATTTCCTTTTAGGTACAACTTTGATAGCCCGCGATCAGACTTTGATATTTTGAGGGAGCCACATCCCATTATGACCTTCAGCATCAACTCCGCCGACCGCTTGGCTCTACTAAACGTCTCCAACCAGGGCCTTCATCTCTGGGACATCGAGGACAAGTGCCTGGTGCGACGATTCCAGGGAATTCGACAGAGCAACTTCGCCATCCACTCCTGCTTCGGCGGCGTCAACGAAAGCTTCGTAGCCAGCGGCAGCGAGGACAAGGTCGTATACATTTGGCACATCAAACGTGAGGAGCCCTTGGCCAAGCTGGCCGGGCACACCAAGACGGTCAACTGCGTGTCCTGGAACCCCGTGTACCCGTCCCTGCTGGCAAGCGCTAGCGACGACGCTACAGTGAGGATCTGGGGCCCCAAGCCCAACGGCAGTAGCGCAACGACTGAGAGCGACGATTGCTCTTCTAGCTCGTCTTCGTCCTCCTGGAATATGACTTAAGGTCGCGAGCCGTAGCAAATGGATGTGCGTGGGTAGATTTTGGATGCTGATTTAGTTATAGTGCGCCCTAATTTCGATATAAATGCAGAATGCGTCCCGCTCTGATTGCGCGTCGGTGTCGTCGTTGCTACAAACTGCCATTACAACAATATGTATGAGCAGCATGACTTACGATTAGCATTAATTACTTAAGTACATTCATACAAAAGGAGAGGCATAACATCATATCTACTATGCTATAACAAGAAATCAATTCGTTCTCAGATTTCTTTTTTATGTATGTTTATGGCATTGCGAAGTAATATTCCCCGGCCTATATTAGCGACTCTTCTCGACCTTTTAATCATCAAAAGTGGAATCGACCTGCTTGGTTTTAAATTTATTAATTAATTATTGCCATTTGATTTGTTCTATGCAGTTTCCGACATTTAGTATGTAACACGATTTGACGTATTTCATAACCAACAGACACAATAAAAATAGATCTATATATGTTTTTAAAATGTCGATGTTTCCTTTCGATTATCCTGGGTCTTAAGCAATCAATAAAATTTGAGTGAAAATTAAGCATGCTCTTTTGATTGTAGATTTGTTTTTTTAATATCTTTTTTGGGAAAAAATGGTTTGGGGTTGGAAGATTAACGGAATTGTACTTTAATAATAACCAATGAACATTGTACACATATCTAAATAGATAGTGCTAGACCATTGGTTGTTAGAAAATATTTACATTAAAACTTAACATCTGTAATGTTTCTATAATAATAGGACCCTAAGATGTGTTTCCTAACCCGTTAAAAACGCAAGCAGTCCCGAGTTCGTTAGATTTGACAGCCATGCCAAAGTCAATATAGATATTTCTTTATTTGGCAATAACATCGTCCATAGGAAATTGTTTTTCTATTTTCAGCCTTATATGTGTACATAATTGCTTAAACATTTTCGTTTAAGCAAAATGCTCTTCCACCACAAGTGACACAAACTGTCTAGCAGTTTCCTTGAAGATGAAAGCCAGAACTACCAATGTTAGAGCCCACCATCGAAGGTTCTTCCTAGTGGCTCCGACCGCCTCGTAGGCGAGAACCAGGGAGCATACGTGATGGCCCATGACCAGGACATGGTGCAAACTACGGCCGAAAACGGTTGTGTTATTACGCCAGACCAAAATGGGCAGGAGGAAGAACTTGGATAGGTTGGAAATCAGCACCACCTTGAAGATAATTAAAGTGAACCTACGAAGGCCCATTTTCTGTATCCAATCGACACTGAGAGTGGCTGTAATTATCAGCAGCAACAATGTCATGAAGAGGTAATCTAAAAAATACAAAGTCAGTAAAAACTCTTGTGCATCGAAGAACAAAGATTTAGTACCTCCCATATTTTGAAGTGTGTATGTGTAGAAACCTTTTCATGGACATGTAACGAGGCATTGGGAGGATCGGGGAGCTTCTGGCGACACAGAGCAAAGGATTCCAGGAGCAGCACCACCAGCGAAACCTTCCAATACAGCTACAATAGCATACATTTCAGAGCTTCGTTTGATCGACGTTCTAACTTCCAAAGATCTCAATCTCACCTTAAAGTCTCCATTGTATATTATGTGGCGGAAGGCGCACGAGTCCAACAGGAGGGCATCTATTAATATGATAAACTCCTCAAACTCTATGTATTTATCAGTGGTTTGCTGACATTTATCCTGCGAAATGTTATTGAAATTAAATCCAATCTTGATTTCGATGATTCACTTACGCATTGGGTGGTCTTCAGAGTATTGCTGTATTTCTTGAACAGTTCTTTGACACTGTGCCCGCAGTTACGCAGACGAAACGCCTTTTTTCTGTCATGTTTCAGTAAATGCAATCCTTATTTTGCTTGCTGCCGCATAAACAAACATTTGTTTTTATCAGCTGTTAAGTATTACCGTTGCCAGAAAACCTAATAATACGGAAATACACTTTATAACCGTTAAAAGTTGCAAAATTACAACCGAGTAAAATTTGAAACCATATAATTTGCTAAGTCCCAACCTTTCTGCTTAGCAAATCCAAATCTTATACCTCGACAATTAATTATTATTAAATTAATTATTCTTAAACAAAAAATTGTTTGTTTCATCCAAGATTAGTGGCCCGACTTAGAGACAAAGTAAAATTAAGTGTAAATGAATTGTTAGTAATTACTAATTATAATATAGGTTCACCTAGAAATCTAATATCTGTTATTAGAACGTGTAATCAGGGGTAGGAGAGAAAAGCATAGACAGTTTATTTACCTGCATATTTTAGAATGTTTTCCTTTCCAAAGCAGAGAGTTGGCTTTACTTGATATTAAAGTACATACATACATATGTATGAACAACCAATAAACGAAGGATTTCAGTAGTTTAATTTATTTAGCTCTCTTTCTGAAACTTGGCTATAAAGAAGCCCACCGTGTCTATACTTTCCTCACTGGGTCCAAATCGTTGCAGCAGACTCGATTTGGTTGCATCCAAATCCGGAAGCGGAAACCTGGACCGCCCCATCGAGGTGTAGCATCTACCAGGCGCACCTCGGGAAACTTCCGGAGCGCCCAGGATACCAGGCCCTCGCATTCCTCCTCGGTGACGGTACATGTGCTATATACGAGGGTGCCGCCAGGACGCAGGAGTTGCACTGCCTGTCCGAAAAGCTTGCGCTGGATATTGGGATACGACTGCAGGACCTTCGGCTTCTTGATGTTGCAGGAGAGCTGGGGCCGGTTGCCTAGGCCACTGCATGGGGCGTCCAACAAGATGCGGTCGAAGCTGCCGCAGGGGAACGGAGGCCCAGTGACCTCTCCACTGGGGGCAGGGTCAGGTGCCACTGTCTTGGTGGAGTCAAACACGTGGGCCGTAATGCTGTTGTAAACAGCAATTTCGGCAGCATGCTGCGTACGCGACTTGCGGAGTTGTCCAGGGCCACCACGGATCCCTGGTCACCCAATAGGTCGGCTATGTGGCTCGTTTTGTTGCCAGGGGCAGCACACATGTCTAGGATGCGTTCGCCGGGCTGCGGATCCAGGACGCGCACGCACACAATGGAGGGAAGATTCTGCAGCAGTGCGTCTTCGTTACTCAAATCGCCCAACGAGGGCACTCCGCTGACGTTGGACTGCATTTCCACGGCGATTCCATTGGCTGGTTGGTCGGAGTTGTTGAAAAGCTGATAGCGCTGCATCAGGACCTTGCCCGTGCCCAGGAAAATCTTCACAGAACTGTCGTAGCGGGTGATCGACCCTCGTTTGCATTTTCCAGTCAGATCTGCGTAGACACTGACAAGTTCCTCCAGCTGAGCGTTGGACTCCATGGAGAGGACCCCCGGAGCATATATGTGAGCACCACGAAGCAACGCAGCTCCGCAACTCGTGTCCACTATTACCTCCTTCAGCCTTGAATCGGGGGAGGTCTGTATCAACCGTTCGGCCAGAGGATCGATGCACAACACCTCGGGTAGGTTCGGCAGGCCATAGACCCTTGGAGATTCCGGACCGTAGCGAACCACGAGTTTCTCCTCCACCTTTTTCCTAAAGGCATCGACGGAAACTCGAAGGGTGTTTACCCGATACGTGGTGACTTTGGGCGTCCTGCACAACCATTCCAGCAGTGGAGCAAGTGCAGCCGACTGAGCAAAGGGGAATCAACAGATTAGTTAGTCAAATTCAAACGCCTGTGCTGCCTTTTAGGGCAGGTGTGTGCATATGATAGGTTGTGGCTCACCTATGTACATACATTTACTTTCAGGATCTCGGCCTCCAAAAGGGGATTCCCCAAAAAGGGCGTTTTTGGGTAAAACATGTGTGCGGTGGATACAAATTTACCAATTGTTTCAAAAACAAATTTATTAGGGATGTGAAAAAATATCGATATATTTAGAAACATTTTAATCGTTATAAAACGTAAACGTATTCAAATTTCGCCCAAAGATAAGATGTGGGCTTTGAAAAGGGAAATCAGGAAAGCAGAACTAGTAGGAAACTCCTTATAAGTTAACCATTTAAAACAGTTCAAGATCTTATAGGGGTAGGCGTATAAAGCCGGCGGAAAACAATTTACGAAACCAGTGCTTTTCTTAGAAAGGTAAACATCCGAATAAATAAAAAAATTTTAATTTTTACTCTTAGCCCGCAACGATGATTTAAAATTTGTTTCTAAATTTGGATGTAGTTCTCTAAATAGATATATAAATATCAATAAATAAATATTGAACGGATTGATGCACAGGTTTTTGAAAATTTTCATTTTTCTATTGATCACAATTTTAAACCACAATTCCAAATGATTCTGTAGATTTTACTTTTAAATGGTAGCCCACTTTCTCATTTTATCTCACTTTAATATGCTTGTCAATGATCCTAAGAAAATGAGTTCTAGAAGCGCAAGACAAACAGTAGTTTTCCGATTTGTCCCAATCGGATATCTTGCATTTTCTTGGTTCACGGGCTGCTTCGCAAACAAATTTGGTGGGACGAGCCTACAATATCTCTGAGCTAATCGCGTCGTTTAAGTAGCGCGTAGAACGGTCGAAAAGCGTTTTAATCAACATTTTTTGGGTTCAACAAGGATTATGTATAGAACATTATTATAATTTGTATAAAAATTAAAAAAAGGCCGGTTTTCAGAAAACCGCGATTGATTTTTTTTTTTAAGTCTGTACTATAATTTGTTTGGAAACTGTTATGGGAGTTATTTTTATCTGAAAGGTAGGCAAAAATAATAATTAAGGAGTCTTTTTTTTTACACCATGTAATTTAAAGTTATATATAAACTTAATAAAAAAGGCATCGCCATATCTTAGCTTCTGTCAAAAGGATTAAATTTTTTTTTTTTTGAGACCGTAAAGAAAATTTTGATACGTTTCGCAAAGAATCACTCAGAATTGAAAAATATCAACAAGTCTCCCGATGAGATTATAATTTTGCAATGGTTTTTTTTTTAATGTCAAAGACACGTATGTACAGCCGACTTACAGTAAGCTGTGTGCCAAACATTTTGTTATCCAGCATTTGGGCTGCACACTAGTGAAATCGGACTATCATTTTTTGAGAAATCATGTCCACCAGTTTTCAACTCGTAGTTTCGAGAAAAAAGCGGTTGAAATACGTTCCGTCAGGCCGAACAAGCTGAAAAATATAACGTCGAACTGTCATATCTCCTAAACTATCTGTCCGATCAAACTTCGATTTGACCATAAAATGAAAAAAATCTCATAAAAATATTATATTTTGAAAACCTCTATGTAACCCTCTAATTTAGCGGGACAACTTATTAATAATCTCAACCCCCAAGTTTGAAAAGTTTTCGATATCGACATATGTGCCTACAGAAATCGCTTAGCGCGATTTGTCGCTTTTGAATTTCGTTGACACCTCTGAAACATTCTTGATCAGGAGCACTAACCGATTCGATCCATGTCCGTTCAGATGTAATTTCCAGACAATTGTTACCAAACGTATATCTTCTTTGATGAATAACAGTGTTTCCTTTGTGCAACGGATCCATGAAATCGTTAAAGTTTTTTTTTATATTAGTTTTAAATTAATATTTGATCTATCCGCCCGCATTAGGTTAGATTTATTTTTTATTTATTTCATTCCTGCTTTTTATTATCAACATAATGTTACAAATTTTATTTTTAATCTAATCTAGGTACAACTTCAGCCAGATTGGTTATTTTTTGTTTTGAACAATTTTAAAAATGGGAAATGGCACAATTAGTATTCGATTCAAGGCTCGTGTTATAAATCCGTTTTAAAAGATATTTATAATTTTTTGGAACGGTCCCCGAATATGTTCTTACAATTATTAGTTAGTAACTTCAAAAAAGCATTTTGATTTACGAGTTTATTCCGTTTAATAATTTATTTGTAATCCAGTTCAAAAATTAAAGAAATATATCACTTCTGGATAGGTTCAGCTATTTTGGAAATCTTTTTGGAAAAACTCATAATTTCACAGAAAATTGTAATTATTAACTTAACTAAGATTACGATTCCTCATTGTTATGCGATGAGGCTAACCTTTTAACCAACTATTTCCTACGAGGGTCCTTCATATGTGTTCCTTGTGTTAAATGACATTGACAGAAAATAAGAATAGAACAAAGGCATTGCGTTTCAGCTTTTACGGTAGCATGTATTTGTTAAACTGAACTGTTCATTCTATATCATATTTCAACGACCATTTTCATGTTTTTAAAACTATTTACTTATTACCAATTATTCATAAGATATTTTTTGTTTGTCAACTATGAATCACATACAAATGGATTCGAATCGCCGAACCCGATCCTATGCAATTATTGAGATTTTTCAAGTAATTGTTACATTGATTTTAGGTTTTGGATTTTGAACATGTTGGGTCTATATGTTAATTCCCTTAGTTTATTAATTGTTGTTTTGCTAATGGACAACACATTACATTCGTATCAGTAAAAACAAAACATTTTAAAGAGGTACATTTCGAAAGTATATACTTAAAATCAATATACAATATAGATGTTATACATATCATATTTGTAGTGGTTTGGGTATTACGCTTGTGGCCAACGATTACAAATATACTGAATTATAGGTATGCAACAGTAATACTCTAACACAAAGGCTCATAACAATAACAAAAATTTCATTTATCGACGAAAGGGAATAGTTTCTGCTCGGTTATGATACACTGACTCATTCGAGGTTGAATGCTTGCATTTATCCAGATAGACGTGCCGTTGTCGTTTGCTATGTGCGTTTCACTTAGTTGTAGTTGTTAAACTTCAAAAAATGAGTAGAAAACCGATTAAAGAATGTATGTATTTTTATCTTTACAATTCAGTCTGAAAGGCATAGTTTACACATTTTATATCACCTATTCTCAAAATGTACTGTTTACTGTTTGTTTATCTCTAAACTTGTGTATTCATATTTAATGATATATCAATGTTCCTTTAGGTTTAAGTTGAACCACTTGTTTATGGTATTAAATATAATTTAATTTAATACAAGTACGGAAAAGTTGCTGTAAATTTCGTTGCATTAAGTGGAGAATAAATATTATGTAACCTAAATTTGGTACCCAAATACATTTTTTTGTTTAATTTCGCATTCGATATTTGGTTCAGTATCATTTATATATATCGTTTGAATATTGGTTACTTATTTCTCGGACTGTCTATCCAAATTTGTATGCTTTTGGGCTGTTGTTCCTTTTTTTGTTTCCTTCTGCTCCAAAAGCCTATTCATCATCCGAGAAATCGGAACTTTCGCTTAAATCACTTGAAAATATCTCCAGCCAGTGATAGTCACGCCGATCTACATATTCCCATAGATAGATCTAAAAAATATGGAATATTATTTAAGTGACATCCTAATTTAACGATTAAATGTGAGGGTGTGACCATTTCTATAAACATCTCGTTAATATCATAGATCATAGCCAAATATTTCCGATTCATTTACCTATTAAAATTATTTTGGTAAAAGAACCAGAATTGTTTTTGTGATTGGTTTGAAAGAAACCAAGCAAGATTGTTTTGTTTGTTAGTGAATTTTGTACTTACATCCAGTAAGTCGATTATTTCATTCTGGCTCTGTAACTTTCTAGTGCGCTTCGGCAATCCCACATCGATGATATCGCCATTGGGCAGGGCGTGCTTGTAGAAGCACTTGTTACCAAAGGGGCATTTGCCTTCGCCTTTTTTGAAGTATTTGCAGTCCTTCGCTCCCAAGGCGGCGCGGTAATCATTGAGCAATTTGTCCTTTTCCTCCTTGGTCTCCACCCAAAACGCACTGGGGCACACAAAGTCCGAGCACACGCGACATTCGGGACAAGCTCTGCAGATATAAAATAAAAAAGGTTGAAACTGAATATCGAATCGAATCCAGTGCAGTTTTCGGAGTTGCCTGATAGTTAAATGCATGCACTTTGTTCAAAAAGTTAAAAAGAGTACGACAAAACTATTTTATATGACGCTTCTTCACCATCTATAATTTGCATTCGGCGACCTTTTTAGTCGGGTCCTTTGAATTAAGATTTTATACAATTTAAAAATATACCAAATGGATCACGTATGGTAAACTTTTCAAATATATAAAAAACCGTGAACCTAGCGAATTACTCTAGCCCTGGCTAATCTCACTTACCGCGTTATTTTATGCTCAAACTGTTTGGCCTGGCGCCATGTGCGAATGCATCCAAGCAGAATATGTGGTTGCAGTTGGGAAGGATGCCGAAACGCTTTTCCCTGCCCGCCTTCTCCATGATCGTGTCAAAGCAGATGCCGCACGTCTTGTCCTTGGATCTGGCGATGGCGAAGGACAGCTCCATGGCCTGTTCGTGCTGCTGGAGGCACTCGCGGTTGTGATTCTTGCGTTGGGCTTGATCCGTTGGATGTAGGCAATATTGGTCGCACATTTCGCATAGCTCCATGTGAATGCGGTAAGGGCAGAGTTCGCTCCAGGCGCAGGGGCTCTCGTACGGGCAGACTTCCTCCAGCGAAGCGGGATTCATGTTGGCGTAGTCCACTTTGGTGTTCACAGATGAAGGACCACCCACCACTTCGGCCCAGGAGATGGCGGGCTGGTAGGCGGCGTAGGCCGCTTCACCATCCGCCTCCGTCTGCGCCTCTGGCCCCACAGTGGCCTCCTCAATCTGTTCCTGGGCAGGAGTACGCTTCTGGCTGGGCACAAACACTGGCGCGTTAGCCCAGTTCCGCGGCTGTCTGGAGGTGCTGGCGAAGTGGCTGCTGCTGCTACTGCTGGTACTGGGCTTCGGGAGCACATCGGTGGCCACCTGCTGCTCGCACTCCGGATGACCGCGAGTCAGGTCGTGGGAGAAGCGGCAGAGTTCCCCGAAGCGGCAGATTCCGCGCACGTAATAGCGGCAGATGGTCTGGCTCCGACCAAGGGCCATGCCACTGATGGCTGGATCGCTGCTGGCGACGGCACTCATTTTGCTTAGACGAATGCAAAAGGCTTTTGGGTTTACGAATCACTGACAAGTCTGGACGATGACCTGAAAGGAAAAGCGAAACGTTAGCGATTGCCACTGGGGTTCGTCAAGGAAATGTGTCCTCCAGTCTCGAGCGTTCGCATTCTTACCCCCCGATTGCACATACCTACAAACACAACACAACTGCGTAAGTACGCTGGATGAGAAATCAGCCTGCGCACTCCTTATATCAAAGTTATATACTATTTCTTAGAGTTTTATAGTGGAAATCACATGAATTTCAGGCGAGAACAGTTTTGCGCTCAAGTTATTGGCGTAGCATCGCATCAGATAAATATGCAATGTAAGTATGTGCATATGTGTGTATGTTTGCGGATTCCTATAGAAGTACGTCTGGAGCTGTCTTCTCGGATATCAAATCAAACGCGTCCATCACCGATTACAATCTGATTTAATTACCTGCTGGCTCACGACACTGTGAATGCCAAAAAACTAAGCTATTTTAATGCCTAGAACACTTACAATTTTTTACTTTGTCGTTTTATGCACCTTGGATCACATTCACAATTTTTTTTTCGCAGTGTGACCAAAGTTATCGACAGTTGAAATCGCACGCAATCAAACCGTTAAAGTTAGAAATGTTTTGATATTTATTTTTAAGGGAATGGAATGGAACGGAAACAACTCAAGCCGAGCGCTAAATTCAATCCGTTTTATTCTAATCCAAATAATTAGAATAGTTAAAATTTTATTCCTGAATAAACTAAACGTTAAAATACGTTATTACAAATGATTAGGATACATTTCTATAAGTTTATGAAAGCAATTTACTAATAGAAGAAATTGATTACCACCCAGCGCCTTATTTTAATTAATGGGCGAGGGGATGTAATTATGGATTCATTTAATTACTCTTGCTAATGACGCAACAACAAGAACGGCAGGTAAAGTTAAGTTTTATTCGGTTAATGACACTTAAAATGGGGGACGTTTTGTAACCTACTCTAAATCAAAATCCGAAATCCAATATGTTACCAGTATTTGGGAAGCTCTTTCAGAACATACAAGTTACGTGGACTTAAGACAAAAAAATATGCAAAAAATACATAGGAAAATATGGAGCTTAGGCCAAACAGGAAAGAACAGGTTCCTACGAAATACATCAATGGAAGTGCTTAAATACCTGATCAGCGATAATTCTTTACCGTGGTGGATAAAACCTTACTTTATGATAATTTTCGGATTAGTTGTTTTTGTGGCCGTAAACTTGGCAGTTGGAATTTATAACATATGGGACAGCACGCCAGTGATCATTGGAAGTAAATGTCTAAGTCTTGATTTTAGTTTTATTACTTTCAAAACATGGAATTTGTTTAACAGTTAGTTCTACAATGACTCCCATTGATAAAATTCCGTTCCCGGCAATAACGGTCTGCAATATGAACCAGGCTAAGAAATCGAAAGTAGAGCACTTGGCGCCGTAAGTTTAGTTAGAGTCTATAATTATTTAATTAATTTAACGATTAATTTTATAATTTTCAGCGGTTCCCTTGGATTTGCCATGCTTCAAAAGACCTGTTATAAGGAAACAAATTACTCGCAATATACAAATATTCGGCATAGAAATGAAACATTTCAAAATTTCATATTAAACGTTTCTGAGAAGTGCGCAGATCTAATAGTGTCCTGTACATTCCATCAACAGCAAATTCCTTGTACCGACATCTTCAGGGAAATATTTGTTGATGAAGGCTTGTGCTGTATATTCAACTTTTTACATCCATATTATCTTTACAAATTCAAGTTCGGTTTTTCAAAAAAGAAAAGAAAAAATAATTTGAAATCTTGTTTTTTAAGGTCACCTTATATTCGGGACTACACTTCGTCGGATAGGTTTGCAGACATCGCTGTAGACTGGGATCCGATTTCTGGATATCCACAGAGATTGCCGTCTAGTTATTATCCCCGCCCGGCAGTTGGAGTTGGCACTGCAATGGGTTTGCAAATTATTCTCAATGGTCATGTAAACGATTATTTTTGCTCTTCCACAAATGGTCAGGGCTTTAAAGTCTGTAATATTGAACACATTTTGGTCAGCTAATTTATACATAATTTTCAAGGTACTTCTGTATAATCCCATTGACCAGCCCCGCATGAAGGAGTCGGGATTACCTGTGATGATTGGCCATCAAACAAGTTTTCGTATTATAGCTAGGAGCTTTGAGGCGCTACCCACTATAAGGAATATTCATAGGACGAAGCGTCAATGTATTTTTAGCGACGAGCAGGAACTACTGTTTTATCGCTATTATACGCGCAGAAATTGTGAAGCTGAATGCGAATCTTTGTTTTTTCTAAGAGTCTGTAATTGCATTCCCTATTACTTGCCCCTAGTTCATCCAAACGCTTCCATATGCGATGTGATTAATTTTGAATGTCTGAATAGTGCAGAATCGCAGATTTTCGACGTAAGGACCTCGCAGTGCAAAGAGCTTTGCCTAACCAGCTGCCACGACTTAATATTTTTTCCCGATGCTTTTACCACACCATTAAGCCATAAAAAAGTAAATGATCAAAGCACTTACTTGAAGAACTTGTCCAGTGATTACATTCGGAAAAACTTGGCCGTAGTAAATTTCTTTCACACCGACAATTATTTTAGAAGCAGCGTGAGAACATCGTATACCGGACCAACTGAATATATGGGTATTATACTATTTACTTTCAAGGTGAATTCCCCTTTAACGGAATGAAAAAATTTATTTTTTTGTCTAATTCATACTTGTCCACATACTTGTAGGATATATCTTTTGATACCTGAAGTAGTTCTCGATATGTTAGAGTAACTGTAGGCCAGTCTCCGAGTACTGAGCAAATGAACTTTAAATGCATTTTACTGAAAATCACGTTTTTTTTAAGAGGGTACCTTTTACGGCATTGAAGATTTATCCTGTTATAAAGCTTAAATTTGGCAGATTCTAAAAATTGGCTGTAAGGATGTCTTTTTTTAATTATTAAGCTAGTTTAATTGTGGGTTCTAGGAGATACCTACCTTTCTTTTTCAAAGCACACATTTTTTGATAACAAACAAAATTGGATAAAAAAGGGTCGTTTTTGAAGCTGCTGAACGGGATTCCCTTTCCCTTTAATTAATAATTTAATAGTTCTACTTCTTATTTCCAGCTTTAACTGGTGGCATTATGAGCCTAATGATTGGATTCAGTGTAATCTTCATCGCCGAGATAATATACTTAATAATCTTTGTTTTAACTTTGTTGCTTCTGTTAATGTTTTGAATTATAGAATCTCTTATTATAACAAACTAAATCACACCTTCATCATATAATATCTCGTATACGTTGAGCGGATCCACGGGGGGATTTTGGGCACATAATCCTAACGAAATGTGGTATTCAAGTCACTGTAACTCAAATTTGTATTTTTTATATATATAATATAAACATTAATTTGTACTTCTCACACATTTAAATAAAAATACACCATTTCGCCTATTGAAGGGCCTGTTAAATTGTGGGAATAATAATATAATAATATTTTATAATAATAATTACAAAAATATATATGGCATTTTTAAAATTAAATGGAATGGAACAAAAAAGCGTACAACGGTCATACAAAACTGAATTTTATTTTCGATAGCACAGGCTTAACAATCTGGCAACCCTGGGAAATTACAGTTCAGTGGCAAAGTGACAAGCAAAAATACGAAAATGGTTCTGGAGAGTACTATGATATGGTAAAATATTGTTTTTTGGACAATACGAAAAGATTTAGCAAGTTTTTCCGCATTGACCGCGATGGCGCGCCTACTGGCACTCATAATTCGTGTTTTTCCAGCTTTGATAACAGCGACTACCAGCGCAACGGAGACTATTTTCCAACCCGTCTGAACGTGCAGAAAGATGGCATCAACCTGGTCTGTCTCACCAAGCTGCGATCGAATCCAGAGAACAATGTTGGCCTGATGACTTTGTCTAAGTGAGTATGGTAATGCCTGCTGCTTTTCCCAAACCCTCATTGTCTGTTTTGCTTACCTCCCAGCACCGTGGAAGTGCTGGCTACCCTTACCAGCGATGTGGGCCGCATTTTCTCTAAGATGCATCTGATCCAGCCAAAGGGCGAAATAAACCTCTTGACCGGAATTCGAATCGCTCACTTGGTGCTGAAGCATCGCCAAGGAAAGAACCACAAGATGCGCATCGTGGTCTTCGTGGGATCGCCCATAAATCATGAGGAGGGTGACTTGGTAAAGCAGGCCAAGCGCCTCAAGAAGGAGAAGGTCAATGTAGACATCGTTAGTTTTGGCGATCATGGCAACAACAATGAGACCCTAACCGCATTCATAAATGCACTGAACGGCAAGGACGGCACTGGGTCTCATTTGGTCAGTGTGCCTCGTGGATCCGCCTTGTCGGATGCCCTGCTCTCGTCACCCATTATCCTGGGAGAGGACGGCTTGGGCGGAGCTGGCCTGGGCGGCAATGTCTTCGAATTCGGTGTAGATCCTAACGAGGACCCCGAACTGGCTCTCGCCTTGCGCGTCTCAATGGAGGAGCAGCGCCAGCGCCAAGAGAGCGAGCAGCGTCGCGCCAATCCAGAAGGAGCTGCACCGACTGGCGGAGATGCGGGCGGAGGAAGCGGTGGCTCGGGATCCGGTCCTGGCAACGTGGAGAGTGCCGGAGCAGACACCGAGGCCAACTCCGAAGAGGCCATGCTGCAGCGCGCCTTGGCCCTGTCCACCGAAACACCCGAGGACAACTTGCCGGACTTTGCTAACATGACTGAGGAGGAACAGATCGCCTTTGCCATGCAGATGTCCATGCAGGATGCCCCCGACGACACCGTCACCCAGCAAGCGAAGCGCCCAAAGACCGACGAGGCCAATGCCCCCATGGACGTGGACGAGGACTACTCGGAGGTGATTGGCGACCCGGCCTTCTTGCAGAGCGTGCTGGAGAACCTGCCAGGGGTTGATCCCCAGTCGGAGGCAGTGCGCGATGCTGTCGGTTCGCTTAACAAGGACAAGGACAAAAAGGGCGACGGCAAGGACTCGCAGAAAAAGTAAACCGCATCTATGATTATATCTTATAAGCTCGTTTAAAGCATTTGTATGCCCATTAAAATCATTTGTAGCCCTCTTTCAAATTATGCTTCAAGTGAAAATATATAAACAAATACACACGAAATGCTGCTGACTGGATTAAAGTGTACAATGAATGGTTTTGTTTGGGTACAAGCTTGTGTGAGCTAACAACTTTGAATTTAGTTGTTTGATTAATTTTTATAAAGAAAAGAATGTTTCCTTTGAATATTTTAATTTTTTGACCAATTTTCATTAAAAAAAGGATTAGTGAAACAGATCTTTTGGAAATGTCGCCTTTCTTCATTGTTTTCTTCTTCAAATTGTATTATATGTACATTGTACATATCTATTCAATACGTTCTATTGGGTATTAATTGGCAATGTTATTATTTCTTGAAGCAGGATAAAAAATCTAAAGCTCAAAACTTTAAAACCGTTTATGCTTGAAAATAATTAAATGTTTTTTAAACATTAAATGAATACAAATTGAACGAATGAATTTTTTATAAATTTTCACAAGTTAATGGTATTACCTTGACGTTAATATGACATGCGTGGAATGGTTTGGGGTTTAATCTTAATAGTTATGAAAGATTTAAATACATTGTTTTCCATAATTTTGAAGAAAAACCGAGCAGTCGACTTTGGTTCTACACAATGGGTTCTTGACTAGTGACGCCCTTAATAGTTCACTCACATTTTGAGGGCTGCATGAACAACGATAAATAACAAACTCCGTTTGTGGCTCAATACATTATAGTTTATTTCCCTTTTTTAGGGCCACTATTCTTGTATCGACACTCTTTACTTTACAGGTGTATTAACTACATATGTGGAGTTACGGATCCAGATTACTTGTCGCCCTTGTAGTCCCGGATGTGGTAGAGCACCCATGCGGGAATGAACAGAGACGCAGCGCACATGCCGCCGCCCAGGATCACCTTCTCCTGCAAGTCAAAATCGAATTTAGCAATCCCTTCCTTACAACTGGGACTTCACATCCTCGTTATGCAACATCTGAAACTTACGGCGGTGGAGACGTGCTGGGTCGGTGGTCCGGAAACGACCGACTGGCAACGGCTCTGCATGGCGCTACGGATAGCGGGGACCAGGAGGCGGGCAGCGCTGTTTTGGAACATTTTCACAATCTTCTTTGGAAAATACGCTGGCGAAAATCAATGCTGTAAGGTTAGAATGCTTCTTCTTCACGATTTGACATTCACACGGTTTTGAGATGGGCATGGCTCGTGATTTTCACCGTGTCACGTAAAGTCATCGTGACTATTGCAAACAAATATTTAGGGTATTCTCCAGGCGTTCGCATTATTAAAATCCATACGTTTTGTCAATACAAAGTTATAGAAGGCCCTAGTTAATATTATAAACCAAAAATTCATTTTCTTGACGCTTAAAAATGTTGTTATGCTTTTGTCTCTTAAAAATCTTAAGTCTTATTGGTAGATTAAATAACAATATATCTATATATAATAATAATGAAACAAATAATATTAATATTATTCGAAATGTTTTAACCATTTTAACAAACCAGAAATATACTGGAGGAAACTCGAAAAGTGGTGGAGAACCCTCAGAAGGCGGTTCAGGGTGACCATTTTCTGTTATCGGATTCGAGCGATAGATGCCCACGGTCGCACTGCTGCATGGGACATGTCCGTCATGTGATATTCGTTGCTCGAGAAAAAGTTCCGTGATCGCATTGTCCACCTTTTTCTTTTTATTTCGCCCCAAAACACTTCGCGTCGAGTCCTTTGAGCCTGCAAAATGGTTTCCGAGTGGGTGGCACCGATCGTTATCACCAGCATTTGGGCCTTCATTGGCATCATCTGCCCCTTCTTTGCCCGAGGTCCCAACAAGGGGTAAGCTGTTTACTTAACTGGCGAGGACAGCTACTAACTAAAATTTTCCAGGGTGACTCAATGCTGCCTGATGCTAACCGCAGTAACATGCTGGCTGTTGTAAGTACAGGGCACCTGCCCAATCACTTCGAATAACTACGCCCTCGGGCAGCCATTCTTGTCCCATATCGCAAGACTCATCCATCAATGACATTTTCCATTGCAGCTGGCTGTGCTGTTACATGACGCAGCTGAACCCCCTGATTGGACCCAAACTGAGCATGAACGAAATCATGATCATGGCCCGCGAGTGGGGCAATGAGATCAAAAACACCATGGATGTCACCGTCTAATCATATTGTATTCGTTCACTTGTTTTGTTATTGTTTCTTTACCCCGGATGTTCTTACATTCTGTATTATTAATTTCAACTTAATGTTCGAAGCATAAAATAAATTGTATTAGCAATTACGCTTTGGACAAATCCCTTATAGAAAATCATAGATAAACACATATTTGTAAATTCAGTACGTGCAAAAATGTAAAGTTGCCTTGCCTTTTTAGGCCAACCATTCCATTACTTCGAGTGTCTTAAAATGAAGATTGAAACTTATAATAAAGTAAATTTACACTTAAAGCTGTGAGTGTTTACCAACGACTTCTATTCATAAATTTGTTTGTTATTGATCTGATGACTGATGTAAAAAAATGTTGCCTAAAATACGTTTTTTAATTGCCATTACGCTAAAGGCAGAGAATCTTTCAGAAACATAATACTGGAAACCTTTAATCGGAAGTGCCATAGAAATCGCTTAGTGATTATGTTTGGAGGAATCAGTGCGAAAGTCAGGTCCTTCCTTAAGTTTAAAATAAAATAATTTGGTGGTCCTGATGGATTTAAGGTCTACTGGAAACTGAAAGGACCCGCCTGATTTCTCGAAAATAAACTTATGCGGCAGATCTTTAATGGCCTTGGTTGCTTTTTGTTTACGGTCGGAAGGTTTCCATTACGTGGGCATAAGGAATATCTCTCCTCGTTCTCTACCGTATACATAACATATTCTTTGACAGCTATATGTGAGAGTCGTCCGATTTTTATATAAAATTTAATTCGAAATTCTTAAAAATACAAAAAAAGAATATTCCCAATAGTAAAAGATAATATGTCGAAAAACACCGAAGCTCTAATTTGTTTCATATTATATACTCACCAATTTTCCGACCGTCCTATCAGCTATATGATATATTCGTACGATTTTGATAAAATTAAATTTGAAAAAATATAATTAAAGAAATTATATAAATAAACAAATTTTTTTTCCGATTATTCCTATGGGAGTTATAAGATATAGTTGTTCGATCCGGCTGGTTCCGACTTATATAATACCTGCAAAAGAAGAAGACTATTGGAAAAGATTCAGCCCGCTAGCTTTAAAACTGAGAGACTAGTGTGCGTAGAAACGGACATAGCTAGATGGACTCTAGTGGTGCTGATCACAAATGATTTACAAAAATTCGTCCTTTTCAATAAATACTGAATGGGTTAAGAATGTATTGTATCAATCAAACGGCATTTAAATTACCGTTCAATTGATGCCAAAAGTTTACAGGAAGTAAGTTCAAATTATGAGAATATTTAACTTTTGTTTTGTCAAAATACTTATCCATAAATGTTTATATTCTTTACCTTTATTATCAGTTGGCTTGTTCTAATTTGAACTAAGGTAATTTAATATTTTAATATCCCTATCTTTTGTCGAATATAGTATACCCATTTCCTAGCGAGTAACTGGTATAACCAGACTTCTTTGAGGTGATTGAATGTAGCTTTTATTTGTTACCGTACTTACAGTCTGTAAGTAACAGAAAGCTTCTCAAGTGCTGTTATCTAACATACCGAGGCATAGTAAAAAGGGGAGTCCCAGCATAAGCGAGCACAGTCGAGTTCTGAAGGTACTAGAAAGTTTAACTTGAGTTTGGAAGAAGAATAAATCGTGCAACCATGAGCAACCAGAATAAAATCAAAGACATTTTGAAGAACTTGCAAATTTCTGACGAAGATCGTTGTGAGTACACGATGGACGCTATAGATATTCAAAACCATGTGATTGAGGAGCTGAAAAAGGAGGACTCAACTTTTCGAAGTGCCTTTGACGGCCTGAGCCTAACTGGTATGTTTAGTATAAGCCTGTAAATATGTATATTTCTATCTATAATTTTCTATCAACCCCATCAGGAAGTTACTTGGATCGTGTCAAGTTGAAGACTCCCGATGAATTTGATTTGCTCATGAAGCTCAAGTTCCCATTCCAAATCACCCCGGAACGAGATGAAAATGGGTTTGTCTTGCTGTATGCACCTGGAGGAAGTCATTCGCCGATCGTGTCTGGTAGCTACATTTGTCGCCAGGATCTTCAGGGCTGGTTGCGTGGTATCTTCAAGAAGGTGTTCAGTCCAACTCTGTGTCTTCGCAGTAGCAGGACTCGCAATACATATACTGTGTCGTATACATTGGAGGGACACGGCTGCGCCCATTCGATTGAGGCCAAGTGCGGAAATCGCATTATATCCTTCGATCTAGTGCCGGCTTTCGAGTTTAAAAATTCTCAGTGGCCGTTGGCTGATCCACCGGTTTCGTACCAGGTGCGTAGCGAACATCCCTGGTTCGCCATTCCGCAAAAGAAATCGAGGAGCTCCGACGATCGTACTTTTTTGGTGTGTGCCCCCCACTGGGAACGCGAAGTGATGAAGGGCTCTTACAATATGAAGAACGTATTGCGTCTCATGAAGGGATTACGCGATGCTAATTGCACCGATTTCCCGCATTTGTCCAGTTACATGCTAAAAACCGTGCTCCTTCACGAACTCAGAAGTGTCAACTGGCAACGCGACGAAGGTCCTTTGTTGGTGGAGATGTGGGGTAAATTGCTACTTCGCCTCAATGCTGGCAGATTGGATTTCTTCTTAGCCGACGGCCATAATATATTTGATCGTCTAAACGAACGAGAACTAAGTATCTGTCGCAATAACGCTAGCACTATTTTCGTAAAATTACAACAATACTATTCCTATGACAACGGTTCTCAGTTGTATAACTTGTTTAAAGAAAACTAATCATCTATGCATTTTATATTACCAAAATGATTTTCTTTATTTCAGCAAGTAGCATTTGTATTTCATTGAATTTGGTTTTATTTCAATAAAAAGTATACATATATATACCCTGATAAAAAGTTTCAGATTTTTCGTATTTTGTGTTTCTAGAAGGAAATGTGTGCAGATAAGGGAAAACGGATAAATCAAGCAAAATCAGCAAAAGTTTTTGGAGCAGTAGCCTACAGTTTGGTTCTTGGGCGGTTTAAAAAAAAATAGTTTTAAGCTTTAAAAATTCTAAATTTTCTAACCATTTTCACTACAGGAGGGATTTTACCTCCCAAATCGCCCCCGTGGACTCGGTTATGCTGTGGTGTCTTGTTCATTTATTGCGTAATTTAATAATACAGAAAGAGAAGGGCTACGCAATAAACTGAATAAATAAACTAAAGGGTCTGGTTTATTTTGACTTTCCGCTGCAGATAAGAAAAAAGTGCTGAACCAAACAATAGAAATATTTATACTTTTAATGATCCTAGTGGTGTGTTATTTGTTTACTCAGTTATTAAATGGTACCGAGAAGGGATTAGACCGGCAATAAACTATCTTTTATGATTTCAAGTTGCCTATGCTTGGGCCCTGTTTAGCAAGGGTAAGTTTTTCGTTGATATTTTTAAAACTCTCCAATTCCTTCTATTACACTAGTTTACAGCCAAAAAAGTTAACCTTTAAAACCACTTTTCTAGACTTTTATGTCTTACCTGTATACGCTGGTATTACTCAAAAATTTTCCAAAGAAGCGGTTTTGATTGATTAAAGAGCTAATATTACAGAATCCAATTATCTAAATGATTCATAGTTGATACAATCTGAAAGTAGATAAATGTAACAGATATCTCATAGTCAAGGCTTTGAACTTAAGCGTTCCACAATATTTTTTTTTTAATATCTTAATATATTTTCAGGTCAACCTGATGATGAGCCTCCTCAAAAACGAAAGCAATTAATTTTAGCCGACTTGAAAAGAAGGTAAAAAAAAAGTTGTTTAATTTTTGTCCGCGCCTTGTTAAGTTTTATCAGGGGCAGAAAGTAACAAAAACAAGAAAGGAAGTTAACTTCGGCAAGCCGAAGTTTGCATACCCTTGCGGCTATAATTATTAAATTTAAAAATACAAAAAATTATATTCCCAATAGTATAAGATAATATGTCAAAAAACACCGAAGCTATAATTTGTTTCATATTATTTTCCCACCAATTTTCCGATCGTAGCCGTCCGATTTTGATAAAATTAAATCTGAAATTCAGAACTAATTAAAAAATTTTATTTCCAAGCGTAGGAGGTTATATGTTAGGAAACACCAAAAATAAAAATGTTTAAAAATTAATTTTGCCGATTATTTCTATGGGAGCTATAAGATATAGTTGTCCGATCCGGCTGGTTCCGACCTATATAATACCTGCAAAAGAAAGAAGACTTTTGGGAAAGTTTCAGCCCGATAGCTTTAAATCTGAGAGACTAGTTTCCTTAGAAACGGACGGACAGACGGACATGGCTAGATCGACTCGCCTAGTTATATATACTTTATGGGGTCGGAAACGTCTCCTTCAATGCGTTGCAAACTTCTGACTGAAATCATAATACTCTCTGCAAGAGTATAACCACTTTTCACCGAATAAGGGTTACTTTCGGTCAATTGTTTTTATACATTCTTGTCTCGTAATGTATTTTGAAAAATTTTATTTTTTTAATTTTAGATGCCATTATTAGTGTAGCCTTCTGAGCCTCTGTAAATTTAGGGGAGGGCGATGAGGACACAAAATCCCCTGATGTTGCCAAAGACCCCTGTTAGTATAAGTTACGATTTTCCCTCGAGCTGCAAATTAAAAACAAAATAAACTAAAAAAGGTAATGGCGTTGAAAAATTAAATTGAATGGAGGGAAGGTGCTGGAAATAATAAAATGGCGAAGATTTTTTGACAGTTTTGTGCAGTCGTAGGAAATGTTAAAGTTGAATTCATCTCCACCTTTCATACAAAATCACTAGTGATTAGCCGATTCACTGCATTGGAGTTGGTTGCCTTCCTTAACGGGGAATATTTGTCTTGGAAAGTAAGTAATATTCATAAAACAGTTCGGTAATAAGTTATTTATTTAGTAACTACGCAGTATGTATACATCACTTTGAATAAATGATGACTAATATATAATATTTCTATATGCATTGTTATATTATTACATTATCGAAATGTTTATTTACAGTTTTTTACTAATAAAATGTACAATTTTCTTAAAAAGTTCATACAAAAATTTAATATTTATTTTAAACAAATAAACGAAAGCCAAGATCGGAAATTAGGATTTTTTAAATTAAAAGTGAAACAGAAAGAAAAATATAAAACAATGGCATATCAACAAGAAGCGTTTGACTAATATTTACAGACAACCCCGTAACATTCGACAACTTTTTACTTAAAATCTACCTTCAGATCCACGTCCTCACACTCGAGCCAATTATATTGCCGAGAACATAGAGTAGATCTGTTGTATGGCTTGTCAAAGGTGCATGAAGCAAAACATTTAGCGAAGTTATGTGTTTGCGGAGCTAGTGGATGTCGGATTCGATGAGGACGGAGCAGCAGGAGCTGCCAAATTAGTTGGAAGCTGTGCTGCTGCTGCTGAATAGTAAGCTGCAGTCGCTGGAACGTTTGTGCTAATAGCTGAAAAATTATATAGGAATAAGCATTTATTTTCTAGTATCATAAAGAAAACTTACATTGGCGCAGTGCCTTTTGAAACTTTTCGTATTCCACATAATGTTTTAGACGCAGCTCGTCCTCTTCGATGAGTTGTCTTTGACGCAACAGCAACAGCCGTTGGTGCTGGTTAGTACCCAAGCGCGTGTTGCACAATTGGTTTACCAACGAGTCTAAATTGTGCTTTATGTCCTGTAGGAAAAACCAGATTTTATTGCAAGTCAAAAATGTGGTATTTGGCTTGATCTTACGGATTGTATGTCACTCGGTAACAAGTGTGGATGCGTAGCTGCTAGAGATACAGGCTCTTCGGTAACTGCAATTGCGGGTAAACAAGAAAAATATATATTGTGTGTCCTTGGGGAAACAATAAGATATTGAATGGTTTACCTTCACCAGACGTTGCATTAAAAATTGGTTGCATAACGTGTTGCATGGGCTGTGCTGGCTGCTGGGATGCCATCAGAGGGGACTGTTGCAGCAAATGATTTGGAACGGCACCTTGAAAATTTTGTGGTGCGGCCACACGAGCTCCGGATTGCTGGTTGTACATTCCCGGCACATTTTGTTGCTGCATGTGCGATTGCATCTGCAACTGATGCTGTTGTTGCGAGATCATTTGCTGCTGAGCCGACATTGTCTGCATGGGTGGAAGCTGATGTGGCATTCCCTGGGCCATGCTCACCACCTGGGGCGGAAGCGAGTGAAGCTGGTTGGGCTGCGTCTGGATGAACTGATGCTGCGGATGAGTTTGTTGCGTGGTGGGCAAGTTATACTGCTGCGATCCCTGCTGGGATCCCTGTTGCTGTTGCATCATGATTTGCTGCTGTTGTTGCGACATAAGAGGCATTTGATTTTGCTGCTGTTGCGGCTGGATCGGCTGCATCGGTATGGATTGCTGTTGTGGCTGCTGCTGGTGAGTGTTAACCATGGGCTGATGGCCGTTAAGTGGAGTCTGCTGCGGCTGTTGTGGTATGTTCGGATGCACAAGTTGCTGCTGTGGCTGAAGATTAGACATTTGTTGCATGTGGGTGCCATTCTGATTAATAACTTGAGGCACGACTATGCACTGAGCACCTGCTCCGCTTGTAGAAGTGGAGGTTCCTCCAGGCAACTGGTGGATTTGCTGGGGCTGTTGGTATATCAACTGAATTCCGTTAATGGCCAGCGGAACATTTTGAATGGGGGAGCTGATAACTTCAGTTGGAGTATTAACCACACTACCGTTCTGCACCGAGTTGTTGGGCTGTATCTGGCCGCCAGGGCCTACGACCTGCAGGTCGATCTTTAGTTGACCTTGAGCAGGTTCCTCCACACCGGTTGAAGTTTTCTGCTCCTGTACTCGACTGACGCTGAAACGCGATATTTTACGGGCGCTAGGGTTCACGACTTCTTCAACTTGTTTAGGAACCACAGACAATGTCGCTGATGCAGACTGAAAACGAAAGAAGTTTAAAATAAGCGAGTAATCACATTTAAAACAAACAGAAGATCGTGTTGTTAATATTTACCTCTTCAGCGTTTTCGGTATTTCGCAAGGCTGCTAATTTTTTTTCCAAATCTGCTATTGAGTTCTGATTGATTGATCCATTGCTGGGATTTCTTTGAGGAGGATCACTGCTGTTAGTCGAAATGGAAGTGGTCGATGGTTTTTCCAAGCTGGGTTGTTTGGAAAGTTGCTTCTCGTGACCCGTGCCGATGGTGATGCCAACTGATGCATCAGTTGGAGTCGGATCCGAGTTACTAACTGTCCCTTCAAGATTAGTGGCAGTGTGCAAGTGCACATCGGATCCCATGCTGTTGTCGATGGAAGTGCGACGTGAATTGTAGACGGAGGATCCAGAGCCCCTGGCGGATGTCAAAGCTGCAGTGGGAGTATTCTGACCCACTGAAGGTGCTGATGCCCCTGCTCCGTTATTCGCCTTGTTTACCTATCGAAAGTATAATAATAAATTCATTCATTATAAGAAATATTTTTCATATTTTTTAAGTGACTAGAAAAACAAGGTCGACTTGAATTCCTTATTAATGATTACAATTCAGGTCAATCGATTCAAGTGACTCAACCCTACAAATCGTTCTAGTTTTTTTTTTTTTTTTTTTATACATTTCGATATTTTAAATTACCTCCTGTGCTTGTGGTTGTCCAGATGAAGTCTTCAGTGAGGACATGGCTGGTGCTGGGGAAGCTTGGTGGGGGGCTCTGTTATTGATCGAGGCCACCACCGCGGAGGCAAAGGCGTGGGCATGAGTTATGTTCTCTAGTTCTATCTTTAGCTGCTCCAGAGTGTTGGCTGCTCCGGTTCCTTGGTTTCCCAATGCCTGTGCGGATTTATCTTTTGGCTTCTCAGCTTCAACTGCCGAAGCTTGCTGCGCGTTCTCCAAAGGTTCCAAAGCGGTTTTGTTGGGCATGTCAAAGGTTATTTTCACTGCGGTCAAGTCGTCAAGGCTTCTAGTATGCTTTAGGTCCTCTTGAATCTTTAGGTGACGATTCAAAGGCAGGTTTAGGCTACGGGGAGCACCACCACCGGTCGACTCCAAAAGCTTTTGCATTCTAGCGATAGCAAAGGAACAAGGCTTCTGGCTCACAATCAGTGACTTCTCCTTAGCATCATCGAGCGGTGGTTCCGGACCAGTTGGAGTAATGTTGCTGTCAGGCATATAGTCAATCGACAGCGAAGTGTATTCCGAGGCCGTGCTTGTCTTGCGGGAAACAGAACCCGATCCGATGGTCACGTCATTGCTGCTATTGGGTGCATCCCTCGATGCGGTTGATGAGGAAGACATGGTCGAAGTGGTTGTGGGTGGGGTTCCAACATTCACCTGGCCTTCTTGCGCATTGGCTGTGTTGGATACATGTGGCTTGGCCTCAAACGTCGAATTGGAGTTCGACGGTTCGGTGCCTCCTCCGCCGGAAGGCAGAGTTTCAACACCATGGATAGTGGGTTCAAACATCTTTGTAATGTCGCTGGCGGTTTCATCCCGCTAAAATAAGTTAGTTAAATGTGAGTTAAAGAAGTCAAGCCAAGTCACTAGTGCGTATACATAATTATTTTTAAAAAAATGTATCAAAAGGGAAACTTAAACAACAAAATATATATTAGGTCCACTTTAAGTCTAAAAGGAGCAGAAAAAGAAAATTAATAGTATTCCTAGATAAAGCTTTAAAAAATAATATCTAGACATTTTCTTCCTAATATTTAAAAAGAAGTTCTTTTGGGAACCTTAAGAAGTTATAAATTTCATTAATTAACAGAGTAATGATGTCCGTAACCTGACTAGCATTCAGTTTGCCACTTCTGGTTGAAAGGAAAGGAAGGCGTTAAAAATGTATTCTTCTTTACGATTTAGGAAATCTTTCTTGAAGGTATGAAGCTGTTTCTGGATAGGTGACTATGTTAGTGGACTACTTAGTTGGATTATGGGCACAATGTACGTTTTTAATATCGGACCATGGACATTCATAGGTTCGGGCTTTGTATATGTCTCTGAAAAGTCTTAATATAAATCATTTTAAGAAAGATCATGTAGTTAAAATTATATAAAAAATTCAAAGCGTAATTTTCAGAATTAATTCTAAGAATAAAGGAAAATCCTGGTAAGTAAAGAAACATTTTAGCTAGGAAAACAATAAGTGTTTACATAAGCCCAGTGCACTCAACACTTACAGATCTATGTCTTTGGTGTGACCTAAACGTGGAACGCTGTCGAGTTAGAGACGCGTGTCGGACCTGTTTTGTTATAGTAGGGATAGACAATCAAAAAACATGGATTTTGTGATATGGATAATAAAATCGCTTAGTTAAGTATTTTACGGAATCGTTTCGCATCATTTTCTTGATATCGAATCGCTGCTTTTCAGAGGAAAAGGAAGGAATCGGACTAATTTAGCGTTGATATATATCAAGTCATTTTTTATTCGTCAATAATATCATATCTCAGATATGAAGAACTATATTGCTTTGTGAAAAATGGTTTGTGATGCTTGAAGATCGGACTACTAAAACATGTTTAAATTTTGGTGAAAATTGGTGCCGGCATGATGATTTTTATCACCAATAGAAGCACAGGAAGGAAGGGCTATAAATGTAATGTTATACTTTCAAAAGATAGTTCATTCTTCGGTGAATCATTTCATTAATCAGTGTTTGTTCGTCCAACAAACAGTATCCATCTCTGCGTTTAAGGAACCCTAGGGCCTCATAAGAACGGTCTTCATTGAATAAGAAAGAATTTTCTGTGGAAATAATTTTGGGATAGTGAAGTACCTTTTCAATATTGCGGCGATAATTGGTCGGTATAGGAATTTGATTAGGATTCTGTTTGACTTGGTCTACAATTTCATTGATCATTTCCACAAAAACTGTACTTTGGCAATTAGAAAGCAAATCTTGGGCGATCTGAAAGGCAAAATAGTTCATGATTCAGTATTGCTTGAAATAAAAGTTTGTCTTACCAATTTATTGGCAATTTCAACCGGATTAACATCTCCTATGTCGAATTTAAACGTAATCGTTTTAAGTTTGTTTTCCATGTGACAGTTTATGACACTGCCCTCGTCCACACTGGTAACACTTAGCTTCGGAATCCTTTCGTTGCCGCTCCTGTTAGAGCGTCTTGGTTTTTGGGAACGTGTTCCCGTGGCCTGTTGTTTCAGCTGCTTTTCCGCATCTGCAGATGTCTGATTTTCTGTTTTGGATGCACCTTCAGGGTTTGCTTGGGTACTATTAACAGAAATGGTTTCCGTTGCGACAGCTAGTTCCTGATTAACTTGAATTGGCTGCACATTTTCGTGTTGCACAGGGCCTTGCGAAGAAATCTGTGGGTGTTGTTCTGCTTGAGGTTGCTGCTGTGGTAGTTGCTGCTGCTGAACACCAGGGATCAGCTGTGGCTGGGGTGGCTGCTGATGCTGGACCAAAGGTTGCTGTTGTTGGACCAAAGGTTGTTGCTGTTGTTGAACCAAAGGTTGTTGCTGCTGTTGGCTTATAGGCTGTTGGGGTTGTTGTTGCTGGGGCGGCTGGCTGTGCAACAACTGCTGCAATTGCTGCTCTAAAGGCATTGACAACTGTATTGGTTGCTGTGTGGGTTGTGGCACAAATTGTGTTTGCTGCGGAGGTATGGCCGAGAACCCTGCATGTTGTTGCTGTTGGGGATCACCAAGTGTCACTTGTGGTGGCTGGTTGTAAGTCTGCTGTATTGTAGGAGCCACTGAAGTGGGTGGAATTTGCATCTGAACTGGGATCTGCATGGGTGGCTGATGTTGCTGCGGTGCCATCACCTGCGACACCGTGATTAATTGTTGATGTTGTTGCTGTGGCATGGCTTGAGCATATGCTGCTGTTGCACAAACTGCTGCTGCTGGAGTTGCTGTTGTTGGAGTTGCTGAATTTGCTGTTGCTGCTGCTGTTGTTGAAGCTGCTGCTGCTGGAGTTGCTGCAGTTGATGTTGGGCCATTTGCTGCTGTAAGACTGCTGCCTGTTGTTGCTGCTGTAAGACCGCCGCCTGTTGTTGCTGCTGTAAGATCTGTTGTTGAATTTGCTGCTGGCCAGCCTGTTGCATCGCATAAGCCTGCTGCTGCTGTGCTAGCTGATTTGGATGCATAGAAATCGGAGCTTGTGGTTGTTGCTGCTGCTGAAAATATTGCTGGGCCTGTTTCTGAGCCATTTGTTGCTGCTGCGACAGATCCGGTGCTTGCACGTTGGTGTGCATAAGCTGCTGCAATTGCTGCTGCAAGGGAATTTGTTGGCTCTTTTGCTGATCTGCCATTGGTTGTTGTTGTTGCTGCTGTTCGTGTTGCTGCGGAGGCAAAACAGTTTGTTGTTGCTGGGCCACTTGCTGAACTTGAACTTGCTGAGGCATCTGCTGCAATATTTGAGGCTGCTGCTGTTGTTGGTTGACTTGTTGCTGCGGCATGATTTGATGATTGACCGTCGGCGCAGCAATGGGTTGCTGCTGTTGGATCTGTTGACTGCCCGTCGGCGAGATTACCTGGTTGTTGCCCATCTCCTGCATTGTCGTGTTCGAGTTTTGATACGAGGCCAGCTGCGGGGTTTGAATGTAGTGCACGGTTGGCTTCTGTTGCATAGGAATGGCCGGTGAGGGGATTGCCTGCGGCTGCACCGAGATCAACTGGGGAACGGCCACAGGACCAGGGACCTGAACAGGTTGCTGTATGCCACTGTTCGGAATCGAAGTGTTCGACCGCGCGGACAGTTGTTGCGGCTCGACGCTGTTCGTGGAGAGAGCTAGGCTAGTTTCTGAATCAGTGTTAAGCAGGTCATACTTGAGCTGCAGGCGCTGATTCCACTTTACGCCATCCTCCTCGTCCTCGGACTCCTCCTCTTCTTCCTCATCCTCGTCGACATTGGTCGGCAAACTTTCACGTTGCTTTTGTAATGCTAGTTTTTCCAACCGTGACTTCTCGTTTTGCAGCTTGATTTGAGTTTGACGCTGGGCACGCTCTTTAAGCAACGATACAACTTGCACCTTCAGAAGTCGAGCTACAGCACGAGAATCATCCTCCGATATAATATTTTCCTTCATCATTTCCTGCGCAATCTGCTCGTACTCATCGTGCTGGATGTTGTACTCGAACTGGATCGCCTCATTCTCTTTATGTCGGGACGATCGCTTCTTTGGGTCCATAAAACGCAGTCGAAACTCGATGATACTGATGCTCGGATCAGAAAGGAACTGTTCCGAGGCAGTGGGCTCCACGCGTATGCCGATGTCCTCGTCGAAGAACTCCGATTCTAGAAGTTCATTACAGCTGGGCCGATCCTCCTTCTTTAGTTCAATGCAACGCTCGATGATGTCTCGTACGTTGGGATCCTCCACCTTGGCCAGGGCAGCTGGCTTTATGCCCGAGATCACCTTCTTGTAGATCTGCGCCGGACCCTTGCACTCGCTATATGGATATTCGGAGATGGCCATCTCCAACATGCACATGCCGAAGGCATATACGTCTACCGACTCGTCGTAGTGCTCCTCGTACATTTCCGGGGCCATGAACTCCGGTGTGCCAATCACAGATTTCGCATGGGAGCGGTTTTTCAACGTTGCCAGGCCCAAGTCGCCGATTTTAACACTACCAGTGGTGCCAGTTATAAAAATATTATCACATTTCAAATCACGATGAATTATAGGAAATTGACGAGTATGCAGGAAGTTGAGGCCCTTTAGGATCTGGCGACACCATGACTTCAATACCTTTGGGTGTATTTTCTTGAATCGTTTCAAATAGCTGCAAGTAAATTAGAGTTCATATTTCTGAAGCTAACATTTCGAAGCAAGGTATACGCTTACGATTTCAAAGTTCCAGATAACATTAGTTCGGTGACTAGTACTATATTCTTCTTGCGGCCGATGGGAAACTCCCAATATGTATAGAACCGCACAATGTTTGGGTGCTGCAGTTTCTTTAGCATGTCTGCCTCCTCGCGAAATCTGGTGCGCTCACTTTTCTTTACTTGCTTGTCCTAAAAACAAGAATAAAATTGTAAAAATCGCATAAAAAAAAAGTAAGGAAGCTAGCTTCGGGAAGCCGAAGTTGATATACCTTTGCAGCCTAAGCCATATCATACCATTTTAAATTCTGAAATCTCGGTCTGTACCTTTTTGGAAAGTTTCATTCCGATAGCTTTAAAACTGAGAGACTAGATTGCGTAGAATCGGGCAGACGGACATCTCTAGATCAACTCGTGTAGTGATGCATATCAAAAATATATACTATATAATCATAATACCCTCTGCAATGGTATTATATTTAAGTTAACTAATGCTTACCTATATTGTCAGGACCCTATATAAAAAGCTTATACAGACAAAATTCTTGATTCAATTATCTTTCTAAAAACATACTCATGCTATATTCGACATATGTTGCCTTTGACTATTATAGCTTTAAAAGGCATTTAGTTGGCAAGAAAAGCGTGTCATCTATCGCACTTCCAAACTTACCAGTAATTCGCACCAGGCAACTGGAACGCCCGTCAACGTGTCCAGACCACGATAGACAGTTTTGAAGGATCCGCGTCCAACCTCCTTGTCGTACTTAAAAAAACGGCCGCACGGGGACATAGCCACCGGGTCATCATCCTCATCGCTTTTGCTCTTTGTGATCGATGTGGCTGACGAGGTGGTGGACACCGTCGACGTGGAAGGTAGCAGAGATGCAGAAGCATCCGTGGAGGAACCAGTGACAGTAACTTCCTCTGCGCTAACCTCGGCGCTCTCCGACTTCTTGGCTGTATCATCGATGCTCTTTGGCTGCTTTTCGCTTTGACTTTCGGTATCGTCCTTCTCCTCGACCTGGAAGCCAACGCGCTTGACGCCGCTCGAGTGCTTGGTGGAGGACTTCAATGGCACATCGTCTTCAGTCTTCTCGATTGTAAGACTTCGTGACGCTTCGGTAATAATGTTGTCAATAATGCCGGCCACTTGATGGGAAGTGGCATCCGTTGCATTCGACCGCGTAGGCGTGCGAAACTGCTCCTCCAAGTGCTCCGCCTCGCGGGACAGCATCTCAATGTTGTCATCATAGTCGCGCGGAAACTCCGTCTCAAGCTCGACGAACTGCAGCGGATTTGTGTTCCTGCCCGACTGCTCCACATTTTTGCGCACGAATCGAATGTTCTGTACGAAGTTTGCCGTCAAGGTCGTGGGCGTGGTCTTGGACGAATGCAGTGGGGCCTGTTGCTTGATCAACGGTTCTATTACCGTGTCCGAGGAGGACTTCCTTGCCTCCATTTTCTTGGTGTCTGAGACAACCGCTTGCGACGTCCCCTTAGCCGACTTGTCTTTTTTAGGATTGCCCGAAGCTACACCAGCTTTCTGGTTGCTCTTGGCATCTGCAGGCTGTATTTTGCCATCCATTTTGTCCTCATTGTGTTCCCTGCTCCGATTGTCTTGAGAGCAAAGCACCTCTAGATCGGTCGTTTGCTCTTTGTTCAGAGTGCCGTTGTTGTTATCGTTGACTTTCGGTACGTCGACTTCGTTTTTGGGGCTAACCGACGTCTTACCGGAAATGGAGTTACTTGAAAAGCGTCGAAACACCCGCACAAAAAGGTTATTTTTGCTGGAAGCCGGTGGTGTATGCGTGGTGTGCAGCGTGGGCAGAGAGGAAGCTGGCTCGATGGGTGATGACTGGATCGATGTGGTGCTGCTGGTGCTCGTGTGTGCAGAAAGTGCGTCCTGCTTGCGATTGGGCTTCCTGCTCAGTGTGTCTTTTAGTTTTGATGTCGGGTGCGGGTTTTGCCTAGAGGAGGCAGACCTATTAAACGAACGGTGTCCCGACTTTTGTATATTAGCTCCCTGCACAGTTTGCTCCTCGCTAGAAATGGAGGTATTCCTAAAATAACAAAACAATTGAACGGATTAGAAATTTGTAAAGCAAGCGCTCAGTAATTCTCGGTAAATTTTCCTTAATTAACTGTTTATAATTATTTAATATCGGAAACAAGGTTTCATGTTCCCAGATTTCGTAAACTGACTTGTGTTTTAAAATCTTACAGCGATAGTTTCAACAGTTACCCTCTTATAATAAATAACGAGTGAATCTGTATTTCGGACAAAGTTTAACTAAGGAGAACTTCATATTTTATAACTATCATTGCTAGTACTTAGGAGACTAATTATTTTTTTTATATATATTTTCGACCCTCTTTTGCAATTATTGAAATAAATTTTAAGGTCTTTACACACTTTAAACTATGTGTATCATGAAATGACCAGAGATCTTCCATACTGGAACTACAACCCACCTTTGAGGTTGCGTGGTGCAGGAGGTAGTACCATCTTCGCTGATGGCGCTTCCCTTCCGAGCACGGTTCGCAGGTACGACCTCTTGTTGTCGTACAAAGTCGCAAAGGGTTTGTCCAATTTTGCAAGATTTTCAGCAGCAGACCACCACGTTTAATCTGGAATGAGAGTCAAGGCGGGGGATGAGTACTGGAGGGGTTGGATCCAAGGTTAAATTCCGGCAGTATTTATTGGAGGGGATGGCAGGGGCAGGGGCTGGGCCGGAGGGGTGACCATCCCACCCACTTATGGTCGTTGTTGGGTGCCGTCGTCTGAAATATCGCTTACAGCTGGGCGGAAGAGGAAGAGCCGCCGTCTCCTGGAGGCCGAGGTGTTCGCTTTCCATGAATCACTAGTTTCGATTGCACTACGTTCGTCACTGGTTCTGCCGTTCTGCTCTGTTCTGTCGCGAGGGATATGTGCGTATGTGCGGTACGTTGGCTATACATACATATTTATGTACATTTGATTCGGGGCAGGAAGCATATGCAACGGCTATGATGTCATGGTTCAGCGCCGCTCCTTCCGGAAGTCCTCCGCTCGACGGGATGAGAGTTCGGGACCGGGACGGGGACTAGGGCTCACTGCGACTGTCCGACCGTTCGCATCGAGGTTTTCAGTTTGTGATTGTGGTGTTCAAAGGTAATTCGAGTTAGCAGGTTTTCATATTACAGCACAAGGGATTTGCCAGTCTTCCGGGGGAATCGGTCGCCACCACAGGGGGGTCAATTGCATTGGACGCGAGTGAAACAACGGAAAATTAAAGTATTTCGCCTGAAATTACTTTCACAAAAAATTTTACAAAGCAACTGGGTTTACTTGTGTTCGTGATATATCGATAGCGCATTATTGTTACACAAGTGTTATCGACGGAGTTGCCACCCCGATCACGGTTGTCATTTTGCCTGATATTTTATGTGCATTTAGCAGAAATGTTAACTAGCCGTTGTTGAGCAGCGTAGTAGCCGTTACTCTTTAAATCAATTTTTAAATTTGGGAATGTCAAATTTTAAGCCAAAATTGTTTAACGATTGTTTTACTTTATATTAAAAATCAGAATCGTCATATCGGGAGAGGATATAGGATCAATCATGTTTCTGACAGTTACGGGACGTTATTATACCTGTTACTCGTAGAGTTAAAGGGAATACTAGATTCGTCGGAAAGTATGTAACAGGTAAAAGCAAGCGTTTTCGACCCTATAAATATTCTTGATCAGGATCACTAGCCGAGTCGATCTAGCCATGTCCATCTGTCCAACCGTCCGTATGTCCGTACGAACGCTGAGATCTCGGAAATTATAAGAGTTAGAATGTTGACTTTGGCATGTAGATTCTTGGGCTTCCTGTGCAGCGCACGTTTGTTTAAGCAGGGTGCCACGCCCATAATCGACCATAACGTCGATAAACCTGTCTACCGCCCACATTTTTTAATATTTTGTAAAAATTGAAATGAGATTTGTTTCTTACATGCAAAATATTACATAAATCGGACCATTCAATAAAATCCAACAACAATTTATAATGAGCGAACTCAATGGATTGCGAGAGGTATGGAGGTTTCATTTTATGTGGCGTGTTAGTGAAATTTCGTATACAGCCGCTAGAAATGAACGATAGCTGGCGCTTTTTTTGTTAGCTAGATAAACGGGTATCTGATAGTCGAGGCCGTCGACTACAGCGTTTTCTCTTGTTTTTATTAAACTCGATGGCGGCAGGATGCATAAAATAAAATCAGTGTCATCATCATCAATCATGTAACTAAATTTAAAACTTGATTCGCCTAAGTTTTAAGGGGTTACTTACACATGTATCCGCTAGAAAATGCAATATCTTTTTAGGTAATAAGAGGTGCCCAAAAATGACTAAAAAAAATTAACCTCGATGGACCGCGATTTCTTGAGAATTAGTTCTCGTGTAACAGTATTTTAGTCTCGTGTTTTGCTATAAAAACTAAGTAGCCTTTTCGAGGGTGTATGAAAACAACAGGTGTCCTATCAAATTTCGTATTCAATGTTAAAGTGTCAGAAATCCTCGGAACAGGTTGACAGGTTACACATGCGAAAAGTTCTGTAAACGGAAGCTGTTCGCAGCTCCAATATTCTTATGGTATAACACAAAGTGCATAGTTTTTATATATTCGAATATAACATTCCCAATTCCAACTGATAAAAATTAGTTTCCAATTTTTAAATTTGTTCTTTATAACTTAATGTTTTTTGAGATACATATATTGGTTAAAATATACATGCACAAATAGTTTTTAAATGATTTGATTAGATCACCTTATAACTTTTAATAATATTTAGATAGGAAAGCTATGAGTGCACGATATTTTTAATACATTATCATAAAATCAAATTCACTTCCTACAAAACCCTACATTTTACCATTGCCAATGACAGAAATCGAGCATAATAAGAAACTATACTTAAATGGTTTCAAATGTAATATTACATCCACTAGATTAACTTAAGGTAGAATAAATAGTTTTATATTTAAAATCGGCTTTATGAGCATGATCCTTTACTTTTAATCGTCACACCTGAAATACAAACTTGATGGTTAATATTGTGAGCATAACAAATGTTTTAGGATCTTACTTATGTTAAGGCAGGTCGAATAACACTGCAGTTGAGTTTCTCCTGTATACATGTATCCATCGGATCCGCAAATTATTTCATCGTTCTCATCATACACATTAGCGCACACCTTCTCACAGTAACTTTCAGTGTCCTTTGGACTGTCGGGAGTTGCAGAGCTCGTCCCAGTTGGCGCCTTCTGATCCTCTTGCTGGAATTAATATGAATATTAACAATAGATTACTATGAGGCTTTAACTCTGCTGTGGAAATCATCAAATGTTTTTAAGTCTAAATGTCTTACAAATTTATAATGTACATACAAAATGACATCTTTTAAATAAATTTCAAACTACCTTTAAACGGTACATTAAGTAGCTGATACTGTATCTTATTTTCTTTCTTTTTAATGTGTTTTTTTTTAAAGTTATTACAAGAAGTTTGAATACGCTTAATTGGCAGATAACTACATAAGTCTTGAATTGATGTAACGAATAGTCGATAAGTATAACCAAATACAAAAACTCACCTGTTTTCCAGTTTCTGTATCAGCACTGTCTTCTGGATCGTCACCATATTCCTTGATCGGCTTGTTTTGTTCCAGGATCGGAGAAGAAGACTTGGCGGGTTCTCGAACTGCTTGGGCCACGGTTTCATAGTAGTACTGATTGGCCTGCGGGGATTGGGTATATTTCATAGATCCCCTGATGGCATCTTGTTCGGTGAACTCAAATCGCAGGGGCTCCGGTGTGAAGCTCTTGTGGCTCTTGCCAAGGAGCTGGCTCTTTGGCGGGGTCTGAGTAGAAGTTTGGACCGACATGGGAGTGGAGACCACATGCTTGACCGCCTTGTTGCCATCGGACTTCACCACAAACACATCCTGACCAGCCTGGTAACTGCCGCGAACTACTGCGGAATTCGCTGGAGCGGGATCTTGCTGGTAGAACAAATCGGAGACTTGTATGGGTTCATTGTAACTGGAGGAGACTGAGTTGTCTAGGCCAGCATTCTTATAGGGAAGATGTTGTTTGAGTGGTTGATGTTGCTGCGGTGGCTGGTGTTGCAGTTGCTGATGTTGCTGCTGCGGCTGGTGTTGCAATTGCTGCTGCTGGAGTTGCTGCTGGCTCTGCTGATTGTATTGCTGTGGATACTGGTGAAGCTTTTTCTGCTGGTCACGCTCGACATCCAACTTCTTGTAGTCGGGATCTCTCTTGGGCAGAAAGTACTCATTGGTGCTCATAAAGTGCAAGTAGTCCTGCGCCTCCTTCGACTCTTTGGCTGGAGGCACTGCCTGGCGATAGCTGACCCCCTGACTGATCCCCTGTTTCGGCAGGTTATCTGAGTCCTCGTACACCGAGTAACTATTCGGATCCTGCGGGTACTGATTGTTCTGGAGGGCAGTCTGCTGCGAGGGCACCACACTGAAACTGGGACTCTGCTGTCCAAAGAGCTTGGGATAATGCAGATACTGAGAGGCCTGGACAGGAATCGCATGTTGTTGGATGGGTGCATACACTGGCTTCTGGTCCTTCATTATCACATTGCCATTGAAACGCGGAGAGGTTTTAAAGTTATGGATATACTGCTCGGAGAAATATTGCGGCGGGAACTGGTTCTTCCCCACGTCCAGAACTGGAGCATCCTTCACGTGGGCAAATCTCCCTGGCTGATTCTGGTCGAATTGGTATCTCCTGAGCTGGTCGTTCTGCGGAAAGTTGCCAAATTGCTCGCGACGCATGATATGTTGGACTGTCGCAGGTTTCGGAGATCTCAGAAACTTATTGGGGCCGAGGTTACCCGAAAGATGGGGTGGGTTATCCGATCGCGATCTTATCTTGGGCACTAATCCAGGACCGGGAGGTCGGTTGTGGTTGAAATGCGGCTGGGGTTCACTTAGAAACTGCATTATGCGGGCTTGTCTTGGCTCGTTCTCACCGCACTGCACTTCATTAAGTAGGAATATTAAAATCACTAAGGCCTCCCAGAGTGGGGCTAATTTGATGGCATTTTGCGTCATTTTCAAAGTCCGATTCGCGTATGGCGCGTCTTAATTCCACGACGGTCTATTGGTATTTGACATTTGTCAGTTCCGCGGCCAAAAGCAAAAAAGTTTCTTTCGAATTAACCACGCACACATGCGAAGCTTCTTTTTCTTTCGCCACGATCTCGCAGACTTGATCTCACTTTCTTTGTTATCCGGCCAGTCGTTTAAAATAAAAATGGAACGCCTCGCGGCAATGCAGCCAAATACAAATTCAAAGTCGGACCCACATGCAGCACTCTATTCAAAACCGATTGCCTTCAGCTTTACATGGCTACATTCTTCAGAGCCTGTTGTTTAAACGCTAAAGAACCGTTAATCAATCGAGGGTCTCGACTATCCATCCGATCACTTTCTTCTTGAAATTCGGCGGTGTCGTTGGTTGGAAAGCAACTGAGTTGCAAATGGAACATTTCTGAGCCAGCTGTGCTGGAATTTGTCGGAATGGCCATTAAACCAGTTTTGAGACTCTGCCACAGAGGAAATGTGGATGTGGTGGCCACCGAGAGATCACCGAGAGATCATATCACACTCGACTCGAAGATGAGGTTGAAAAAGCCGAGGCACTCGAACCTCGGGGCACAGTGGTATCGCTTTAGATGCTACAGATCTATTTGCCAGATATGCTTTGTAATTCGGTTATCTTAAGTGCAGGTGAAAGTAAACCAAGGCTGATCGAAAAAAAACATATTGGAAACCCTATGCGTAATTGCTGGCATCTAGTTTGGAAATTCCTTAAGCTTCGAAGATTAATTGGTCAACACAGAATGCCCGATCGCTGGATAAGAGATTTTGGAATCCAGGGTTTATTTACCTCCGACTTTTTGTCATCGAGAAAAAGTGAAAATGTATTTTAATTATAGATACTGGGATAATGGGTACAACTTTCGCTTTTGTCGTCAATTTGGCATTGCTTTTTTCGAGAGAACAAGCCAAGAAAACGATAATTTCGGATATTGTTATGCAAATCGTTCGAAACCGTAATCATTCGCTAATGTATTCATTCATAAAAGCCCTGTTATTTATATTTGGGTAAAATTTTTTAGTTCATAAAGTTGTAAACATCTGTGGTTGTTTTGTGTTAAGAAAATTTGCCAAGATAGAAAAGTGCAGTATTTTTTTTCGCAAAAATAACGACTTACACTTTCTAATTTTCAACCATTTTATAAAAAAATGTGTATCCACCCCACCTCAGTAAACACAAATGCTCGGTTATTATAAAACTCATTAATTTTGTTATGCATTAAGATGAGATGTGTAATAATTTAATTATTTTTTGTGCTAGGTAATTGGAAACTAGTCGAATTCCTGGAACAGACTACTTCATTTTGATCTAAGTATTCTACATACACAAATCCTAGGTATTAAATGTAAACTACAAAACAAGGAAGAACGCTATAGTCGAGTGCCTCGACTATCAGATACCCATTACTCAGCTAAAGGGAGCAAAAGGGAAACTTTAATATGTGGGGTAGTGTGGGCGGCAGACAGACTTAATCGTTATGGGCGTTAGAGTGGGCGTGTCATTCAACATATTTCAGTTAAAATTTTTATTCTACCACTAAAGCTGTAGGAGCAACAGGCTTGGGCGGCTTGTGGGCGTAAGAGTGGGCGTGGCACATTAGAGACAAACATACGCTGCGTACGAAGCTAAGGAATCTAAATCTAAATTCCTAACTCTCTAGCTTTGATAGTTTTCGAGATATCAGCGTTCATATGAACGATTCATTGAAGTTTGTGGACGGTTTGTGGGCACTAGAGTGGGATGAAATCTCTTGAGATCACAGCGTTCACACGGACAGACGGATGGACGGAGGGACGGACATGGCTTGATCGACTCGGCTAGTGATCCTGACCAAGAATATATATACTTTATGCCTGTTACATACTTTTCCCCGAATACAATATACCCTTTTACTCTACAAGAAACGGGTATAAAAAGTTGTGCACAGAACCTTAGGTTTTTCACTCGACATCTTCAATAGCTGAAATGTCCTCAAGCTTAAATACAAGTCTCCTCGTTTTCGATCCAAATGTCGTTCTCAACTTTGGGCTCTTCACAAACCGTGTGGCTATTTTCCAGCACGATAACAATGTCAGTTGTGCTAAGAACGGTGGAGTCCGCATTCTGCAAATAAATACAAATTTCGAGGTCAGTACATATGAAATTAAAGGTAGTTCCCATTAAGGTCTCAAACTCTTACATTCACATACGAGCTCTTTAATTCGTTCGACATGCACGGAAACGAAAAAGTTATGTTCCCATAGGTACACATGTAAACAAAGCCAAATCAACCTAAACAAGGTTAAAGCAAGAGTGCTAAGCAACTTTAGCATTGGGAATTAAAAAGTTCCACAAATTGACACAGAGTAAAATAACTTTTAATTTGATTTATTCACCAAGCTATCTTTGAACTTCAAAAGTCCAGCGACACGTACAAAGTTTGGACAAAAATGGTTGGATTTCCGTAACAAGAGGGTAACAACACTCAAGTTGTAATTAAATGTTGTTAAGTAGAGAACAAACTATCAGGCTTGGGTTCGCCCTAATAAATATGTAATATTTTTTTATATTTTTGAATTACCTTTGGTAGCGGAAGACTGTATGTCTTCTTTATCAACACTCTATTTGCAGATAGGCAGTCAGCATCATTTTTATTAGTTTGATGCCTGCTTGACCTAACGTGAACCTTAAAAGCAATATCAAATAAGAATGACTTGGTTTTAGGACAGTTTTCAGAAAACAACTTACAGAATGAACGCGGTCATAATTTATGTTGTTACCAAGACTTGTGGCTGTGCTTTCCCGGAAACTGGAGTGATCCCTTGCAAATCCACTATTATAATAAGCACCCACGGCCTTTCCACAAAGAAGTTCTCTGAACGCCACCCTGTAGCGTCGCGACATTACACTGTATACTATAGGGTTGACGGTGCTGTCAATAAAATCAGTTAGCATGTTAATTATACGACCTTTTAAATATTTACCATGAAATGTAGTAGGCAAATCCTGCAATGGAAAAGAGGGCCTCGTTTATATCCAAATAGTTCTCCATATTCTTGGCATATAGAAATATAAGTCGTTGCAGGTGAAAAGGGAACCAGCATACAAAAAATGTTATCACCACAGCGGCTATACTGATTAAAAGGGTTATTATTGGATTCTGTTTGTAATGCTTAATTAGGAACCACTTACCCAGCATCCGTATAACTGTCTTCTTCCTCATTTGTGAGTTTCGTGTTTCTCTGTTGTTGGTACCAGGTTGAACACCTAAAAGATTTCCCTGAAGTCCTATCTTTTGGTACCAATAGATGCCAAGTACTTGCCCAATTTTTGATTTGTTCGAGATCGAATCTTAGCTCCCATTCGTCCATAAAGTAATATGATGAGTATCATTGGGATGACGAAGAATATGCAAAAGGATACTTCAAACACCGGAATGACATTAACAATCTCGGGAGACATGGAGCAGAATGCAGACTCCTCAATGCGAGAACCATCTGAAAAGTGTTATAGAGTGCAAACAAACGTTGATATGGAGTTGATTGAAGTTTAGTCGCGTACCTAACGGATATTTGAGGTATTGAATATCCGAGAGTAATCCGAATGGTATGGCACTTATGAAACTTGCAATCCAAAGAGCTGTTATTATCCGAATCGCACGTTTGAAGCCAACCATAGCATACAGATGCAGCGGATGGCAAATCGCCAAAAATCGTTCCATGGAAAAAGCAACAATGGTAAATACGGAGACATAAGTACATCTGAAATTCAGTTTCTTATAGTGGCTATAAGTAAAAAAGGTATTTATACTGACGCCTCGGAAATAAAAGCCCGAATTTTGCAAAATGGCATTCCGAAGAGATCTGGATACTGGTGCCAGTATAAAAATACTTCCGTTGGTAGTCCTGGGTAACATATAGTGAGTTTACAATCACATTAAATCGAGTTTAATTTAATTAACTAACCGAATAGTAAGTACAGCAGATCGGAGACAGCTAAACTAAAAAGGTAGTAATTTGTGGCGGTGTGCATTGCCGAGTGCCGAATAATCACAATGCACACTAATAGGTTACCAATGACCCCAGTTATAAAAATGCCTCCAAATATAATTGTTATCTGAAAGAGATTTAAAAAGTGAAAATTTTAAAGCCATTCCACATCGCTCATTTACAAGAAGAGTGACATAAGTCATAAGACTTTTTACGTTAGTGACAGTTTTAGAGCAACCTTAATATCGGTTAGGTCCTGAAAACTTTTCAAATTATTTAAATAAGTAACCTTTTTAACAGTTTGAACACTTTTTTCAGGAAAATATCGTTATAATATTTGTTTTTTCTGTGGAAATTTTAAGTGAAGTACAACATATTTTTTATAATTGGCGATAGAAATGTAAATATGATGAGTTACTGTTCCTAATTTATTAAACTATAAATTTGCTTTTTAAATTTAACTGTTCTATTACAAACGACTTACCAAAATTGCCTTATAAAGTGGTAAGGTCTGCGGACCAAGCACAAAAGCAACAAACTCTGTGGGGGTACAGTTAAAGGTCCCGCAGGCATAATAATCCTCTGTTTCAAATCCGTGGGACGGTTCCAAACTAACGCTGGTTGGATATAAATCGGGTTTATTACTAAAACTTGTATTTAACTCTAAAAAATTCGAATCTGTCGATGAATTCATTTTGACACTGAATTAATTGTTTTTGTTTATTTCGTGTAAAACAGTTTTTAACGGCCGCCGCTGAAATTAGAATCGCCCATGGCACACGACGATTTCCGTTTAATTTTTTATGGATTGCGCGAAATACGGGCTGCGCTATCGTATAATACAGCCACTGTATCTTTTAGATGCCCACAGATTACTGTCCGCAGTCTAGCGCTAAAAAGATAAGAAGGCATGGTTTAGGCTAAATTGTAAATAAATACATACAAACGGGCATATATAAGCCCCATGTACATATATTAGTTGTATGTGCTCAAATTTATAGATATAGCATGGTGTTCATGCCGCAGAATGAGTAATTTTTTTGTGTTTACGTCAAAAACAACAAAATTTTATCTTAAATTAGTAGATAAGTAGATCAGAAGTTAAACAAATGCAACAAACACCAAATTGGGGACTTATTCGAAATAAGAGTTTCAAGTTCCTGCTCAACATTGTTTGGTACATTACGTTGAGTAAATATTTTACACAATTATTTAATTTCAATAGGTGATAACAAACATCGTTATCATTCAAAACAAGAAAGAAACTAGCTTCGGCAAGCCAAAGTTTATACACCGTTGCAGTTCGTTTCTGTTGGAAGAAATCTATATACAGAGCTTACCGATTTTTTGAAAATTAAAACATATTCTGATAAATTCTAATATTTAGATAGTGTTACATTTTAATTTACTAGCGTATATGATTTACTGAAAACGAAAGATAACTTTTGAATATTTTGACTTTAGATTTTCAATCTATCCTATGAAACCTATAAGATAAGTAGCCGATTTTTTATGTTTTTGTAATTCTGAAATAATTATAAATATTATACCGGAGAAGAGAATTTGATCATAAATAACGAAGCGATAAATATTTTGAATTATCGGTTGTTATTATCCTTCTTAGTCTAAATCAGTTTAGTAAGGTATACTTTTATAAAAACAATATACCCTTACTCTCTGTAGTCCCAGGGGTGATATAATTTAAAAGAAAACTTCAAAGAATTATTCCGACCATACCCGGATATCTTTTATTTTTACACTTAGATTAAATTGAAATGTCAACAAGCATAAATAATCAAATCAAGAGCAGGAGAAAAAGCTGCCTCCAAAGATTTCATTAGCCCGAAGAGGCAGGTACACACGTTCACTTTTCCTATTTAAATTCATTTAAAAAGCCTTAAGCCTATATAAAACGTTTGCCATTATTTGCATATGAAGATGCTATCTTATCAACTGACACACATCTTGTTAGATCTCCTTTTCTGTGAGTATATATACTATAAGTGTATCGAGCGACGTACGACTTAATTGCTGTCAGTTAATTTTGTAAGCTAGATTAATAACATACAATGTTTTATTAATACATTCCCGTTTTAAAGTCACCAACAAAATATAAGAAAATTGAATTTAATTTGCACACCGGTATTTTGTTTTATTGTGGTTGCATGTGTCGGCAGCAGCATCTTGGCCACATTTATTAAGCCAGTTTGAATGGGGTTAACAAAGGCTTATACACAAATACGAATTCTCGAAACCAGAAAAGTTTGCATGGATGTTGGCCACAGATTTTGTCATTATTATGAATATGTCGCCGAGGCGAACTCGGCAGAAAACATTGAGACATTTTGGCTTAGCGAAGCGAACTATAGACTTTTACGCACTTGCTAACTTTCCAACTAAGTGTACTCAGACGTGAATTTAATTTGACGAAATATGCAAACAGCAAGGCACACGTGTAATTAGGAAGCCGGCTTGAGGTACGGCAGACTCAAAAGATAATAAAATAATAAATAGCAGGCCCTCATTAGGAGCAGCCTCCCAGTAAGCCAGTAAATCATCAAATCAGCCAATTTGGACCCTAGTGGGCCCGCAGCACTCTTGAGACACCTAATCCAATCCAGCATCTGGTCATTAGGGACACTTAGCCGGTGACCATCCCCATCCTCTGGTAACCCCTCCGGAAACCCCGACCAGTTGCCAAGCCACGTGTTGCTAATTACTTGGGTGCCGAAACCCACAGGTTCGCATATATATTTATATGTGCAATAGATGTCAGGTGTCGCCTAAAGTTGAATATAATTATGTATGGACATCTGGGCATTTTCATAGTACTTTGTCCCGAGGCACTTGCCTTTATTGGATTTATTGAGTGCTGATGAAGATGAATATGTAAGAAGGCTTAGCGTAAGTGTTGTGCTATACAATGTGGAGTGTGAGCACTGAAATATGACTCTACAACACTTAAAATAAATCTTAGATGTATCCATACATCCTATTTTCCTTACCGAATACGTATAGTATTTATAAAATATGTTTAACTATAGGTACTTTGAACCAGAACCAAAAGTTCAGCAAACTATGGAATTATATGTAACGCCTGTTTAAGAAAGCTTTTATCGGTGCATACATAAATATTTACATGTGTAAATATTTCTTTCGAGTTGATAATATGAAAATATAAATGAAGCATGCCTATTATCTTATAGTAAAAGCAAACCAAGAAGTGATTTAAAACTTAGAAAAAAGGATATTTAAAAAAATTAAAACATAATATATTTTAAAGTTTAACAAATATCGGGTATAGATAATAATATTGAATAAATAATTATGGTGCCAGTTGCCAAATTTTAATTTAACTAATTTCTACACTTTTCTGACGCTTAAAATGTTAGTTTATAATTTAATAATTCTGCTTTCAAAAATCGCTTTAAGTTGTGCATACTTTATTGTTTGTATATTTGTACTATGGTCTTTTATCTTATAGTTAATTAGTGTAATGACGTTTATATTAATAAATACGACTACATATGTTAAGAAACTGTGAATGTAAATTGTGTGATTGAAACTTACGTTAAATCTTTTTTCTTATTTTTCACCTGCACCTGTAGAACTTCCCAATTCATTCATGACAACTAAGGACTTAACACTTGTTAATTGGATTCTTTTGACACTTGGATTTTCGTAATTAGTGCATGTTATACAGTAGGCAAGCCACGCACATTATCCCGCAGGATGCTTGGTCGACGACAGGTGGAAAGCAACTGTTTGCATATCCGGATGTCCTGAAAAGTTTTGGGAGTAGGGAATCTCGGCAGGTGAGTGCGCAGGCGTTGAAGCCGAACTCTTCGATTCAGTGGTCATGCTAATGTAACTGCATGTGGAGCTAATTTCAGCTATACTTGTGGCTTTGGGGCAAACCGAAGTGCTTCAGATACATGTAAGCCCAGTAAGGATGCAAGCTTTCCTCATTACACTATTTTTATGGCATTCAAGTTTTTGGGTGAACAATATTGGCATCATTAAAATCCCTTTACTGAACTAGATGCTCCATGCATAATCTATTTACATTTTTGCCAACCTTACTAATTAAAAACAGTATATTTTTTAATTTACTTACAAGATTAAAACACTCCTATGTTAAGTCGTTAAGGATTCATAGTGGATCTATACCATCATACCATTTAAAATTCTTATATACAAAATCTACACCCAATCACAGGACCATTTGAATGAAAGTCTACACATATTTGAATCTGCTTTAATATGTAATTCAGTTTGTTTCAAATATTCGTTGAAAAAACAGCAAAACCAAAAAAAAGAAATATAATGACTTCTATAATTCAACCGGACGGTTTTGTTCCGCAGGCTCAGGGCATTGACGCAGCCGTACCAATATGGTTTAAGATAGACTGGAGCCCGGAGATAGAGCAGGGCATTTACAAGGACTGGGGAACTTACTACTGCCGCCGCCGCCGGGAGAATCTTGGCATGCACTACTTTGACAAGGCCCTCAAGCTCATCCCTGCAGATTTCACTACTCTATATCGCCGAAGTCAGAGCAAACGCAAGAATTCCCTGGCGGAAAGTGCTTTACTGGACTGTTTGGAAGCAAAGCGTGGGTTATTCTTTTTCTCTTCAAAACTTAAATGCTAGTTTGGTTTCTTTAACAGGATTGTTGAAAAATTTGCAGCGTAATGACGCGCCTATCAATTTGGAAGTATGCGATGCACTCTATGATATGAACCGGTTCGAAAGTGCCAAAGCCGAGCTTCACGATAATGCCCGTCTGTTTACTGGTAATAAATCGAAAATGTTTGAGCAGCGACTAGAAGTGGTATGACGGCTTTCGATTACATTATGGGGTTTTCGTCCTGATTTCTAATAATTGCATAGGTTGACGGAAATATTGAGGATGCCTGCGGTCCATCGATGACTCATTTTATATCTGAAAATGAGAAACTTATAATACACTTAACGGAGCTACTGAACAAGCACAAGGAAGATGACAGACCGCTTTGGAAAATACTAAAGGAGCAGGAGAAATGCGATGTGCAGAGCATTCCGGAAATTGAAGTGTGTATAAAGGGTGAATTAAATTTTAGGTTTGGCAGTAATATGCATCCCTTACTAGGAAGAAATGCTTTCTCCTCTTGAAATCGCGAGGCGAAGTCGTGCATTTAATGTGTGCAACCAAATGTTCATTGATAGGTCATGGCTCGATGTGGTGTTTCTGAAGCACGTTCGAAAGTAAACCTATTTTGATCACTTAAAAATTGTTCATTTTCAATACATTACTTATTTTAGGAATCCCAATTTGCTCTTGGATCAATGCAAAAAAGCACTGAGTACTTACAGCCTTTAACTCTAAAGAAATATGACGAGATCAAAAATTTTTTGGTGGGTACATGTATAGTTTATATATAAACTATATATAGTTTCTAAATTACTAATCACAGAAAATGCTGGAGGCTCGCAGTCCAATGTACAACATCCGGTACCAGAAGTTCACAAACAAGAAATTAATGGAAAAATTTCGTCAAGAATATCTTTACCGAGTTCAGTACCAAACGAGTCGGAATATGAAAGCTGCTCTGCGAAGTATTCGATATCTTCGAAAAACTAAAAATTTAAGCGTAAGATTTTAAAAGGTTTATTAGTTTTAAAAATGTATCAAAAGTGGGAGTGCAGATCGAGTTATTTTCTAAAGTGTTATTTAATATTACTCATACGACATGACTATGCTAAGCATATTTCGACATATTCGAAAATATAAAAAACTACAGATTTTGTTTTCCACTTAAAGAACTGCTGTAAACGAAAAAAGTATTACAAAATAGTTTAAATTGTTTTGCAATTATGTTCTTGTTTTGTTAGTTGGTTAAAACTG